GGTCAGAAAATCATTGCGATATAGCAAACGAAATGAGAGAATAGTTCTAAAAGATTTTATTAGAAGAATAGAAATTCATATTTCATTATCAACATTCATTGTTTATTCTCTACCTATATTTGTCTAAATTATTCAAAAGTACATTATTAAAAAACCTTAATGTTCGTGATAAAATGAATATTTTTAAAAGTGATTTTCAAACTTGATTCAAACATATATTTTCTCCATCAATGCATCAATTTATGCATAAAAACATTTTGAGCTAAAGTACTTCGAGGCAAGCTACCTTAATTACGTATATATTTTGATAGATTCTGATTCCCCATAAGTAATCTCTACCTTTTAATAGCAAACACAACAGTTTAAATAATTTCTACCTTAAGGGGAGACAGGGAACATGTCACATGACTAAAAAGACATATTACGTCATAATCGGTGATGATATACATGTTAAACGTTGTTAAGGTCAAGATCTAGTAAATGAAAGGTGCCTACAGATTTATCAAACTTGAGAAATAAATTCCTTTATTGATGCTTTACAACTTTAGCTTGGTCAAATAAGATGTTTCGGGGTATAATTTAAAGGTAAACAAGATGAAAAACTATATTTTAAACTGTCATTTTCATTGAAAAATTAGGAAAACCAGTCATGAATATGGGAGTTTTTCTCATATTCGACCAAGGAAATGCATCCAGATTGCCTACAGTCTCTCAGAAAACGGTAATTAGTATGTTCATGGCCTCTTCTTTAAATCAATATCAAATCTAATATGGGTATCCAGTTTACTTTTCATATGATTTCAACTTGAATGTCATGAAAATACCCTATTTTCTACAGAATTCTGCTAAAGCCGTAAAGTACGGGAAAAAGAAAGTTGAAATTGATTATGACGTCATAATGGATCTAGCACCAAAAAGTATCTCCAGTTATTTACTAGATCTTGACCTTAAAATCAACAGTTCTTGCGTAATATTATTCTAAATTCTAAAATTGTATTTTAAACATTTAATTTTAGAAATTATTATTCATAAAATTTTTAAAGATCTTGTCATCGTTTAGATATTATGAAGTTGCCCAATCCACACATTTGTTTCTCTTAACCCTGCAGTTTGACGTCAGTGACGTCATAGACGTAGTGTTTGAATTTTCAGTGCAGCGAGATCAAGTACACACATCCGTCATAATCTTTTATTTCATAATAAACAGGTCACAGTCAATGTTTCGTGATAAATTCTGAAGCAGATTTGTTTTAATTAATATTTTTTCTCGTTTAGTAGCAGAGATTCTCTCTATTTAGATAATTTTGAATGTTTATGTTTTCGTGTGACGTCACAATTGATTTCCCGCACTCGGAAAATACAAACGTGAAGCGTTTTTATCATGCTTACGTCTAATTCAACGATGTCCTGTGCGATATTGAGTTAAGCTTCACCCTGTGATATTTTTGCAGTAAATAATTACGATGAAGGACTGACATTCAATCGTAAATTTAGAAATATTTATTGACAGAATTTTTTCCCAATGAGGTTTTTGTCGTTGAAGCTGCCTTGAAAAATGCAGAAATTATCCCACCCAAATACTATATAAAATTAAAACAATTACTTTCAGATAATTTAAACCGTATGAATATTATGAAATATTTGAGTATTTAGTATTATCCATAATATTTATCGTTTGTGCGTAAAAAATTCGCACGATGGACTCCGTTATGGGCCCGTAAACATGAAGTATCTAAACTCCATACAAACTCTACACAGGGTGGTATTTGTGGGGTGATATCTTTTAAATAAGTCAAGAAATCCCATGACAGGACCGTTTTAAAATGTTAAGTACACATTAAATTAGTAATATAAAAAATACGAAAAAAATTCATTGACAGGAATTTTTTCAGCTAAAGGTCCTGTTCCTCCTTAAGTACAAACACCACAAGTAATTAATCTCTATACCTTGCACAAACACCGAAAGAAATCTCTACCTTAATTGTACAAACACCACAAGTAATCTCTAATGAATCTACTGTGTACAAACACCATAAGTAATCTCTAATGAATCTACTGTGTACAAACACCACAAGTAGTCTCTACTGTGTACAAACACGACAAGTAATCTCTAATGAATCTACTTTGTACAAACACCACAAGTAATCTCTAATGAATCTACTGTGTACAAACACCACAAGTAATCTCTAATGAATCTACCTTGTACAAACACCACAAGTAATCTCTAATTAATCTGCTGTGTACAAATACCACAAGTAATCTCTAATGAATCTACTGTGTACAAACACCACAAGTAATCTCTAATGAATCTACCTTGTACAAACACCATAAGTAATCTCTAATGAATCTACCTTGTACAAACACCACAAGTAATCTCTACTGTACAAACACCACAAGTAATCTCTAATGAATCTACTTTGTACAAACACCACAAGTAATCTCTAATGAATCTACCTTGTACAAACACCACAAGTAATCTCTAATTAATCTACTGTGTACAAGCACCACAAGTAATCTCTAATGAATCTACCTTGTACAAACACCACAAGTAATCTCTAATGAATCTACCTTGTACAAACACCACAAGTAATCTCTAATGAATCTACTTTGTACAAACACCACAAGTAATCTCTACTGTGTACAAATACCACAAGTAATCTCTAATGAATCTACCTTGTACAAACACCACAAGTAACCTCTAATGAATCTAGTATCATGTACAAACACCACAAGTAATCTCTAATGAATCTAGTACCATGTACAAACACCACAAGTAATCTCTAATGAATCTAGTACCATGTACAAACACCACAAGTAATCTCTAATGAATCTAGTACCATGTACAAACACCACAAGTTATCTCTAATGAATCTAGTACCATGTACAAACACTACAAGTAATCTCTAATGAATCTAGTACCATGTACAAACACCACAAGTAATCTCTACATTAGACAAAACCACAAGTTATCCCTATCTTGTACATTTCACATATCCTTTTTAAGGTGGGAAGATTGACCTCTTTATACCCTACCAGGCCTACCTTCAAATAATCAGGCACGAAGTATCAGGGTAAAGGGGCCACCCATCTACATTTTTTTTACCAAACATTACCTTTAATTGATTATTGAAGAGGTTCATTGAAAAGTCGGCTGTTCCCTCCTTTTTTGTTACAGTATATAAGTCAAATTAGAGTTATGTGGTAATACATGAGTAAAGTTGGTTCTGAAGTTTCGAACCCCCCCTCCCCCCCTACACACACACACACACTCTCTCTCTTTCAAAAACGATACTACGTCCCTGTAGTGTTCATTTCGCAATTAAAAAAGTGAATTCACGCATATATTTTTTCTAGACTTCTTAATATCACCTATACACCCAGGATTGCAGGAACCCTACAATCAACTTAAATCGTGGTAAAATAATTTGGTAAAATTATAATACAATTGCTTAAAATTTGTTTGCTCTCTGAAGAATCAAATTAAGTTAGGGTTACACACTCAAAAAATTATGTTTTATAGTTGTTGTTTTTTTTTTCACTTTACTTTGTTCTGTTTATTATTTAATCGTTTATTTTCAATTTCTTTAATCATTTCATGAAATTTCGGAAACAAATTGAATAGACACGTTGGGGGGGGGGGGGGGGGGGGGGGGATAAGTCCAAATTTTCAAAAGTATAATTTCTATCTTTGCAAAAAATATATTGTAATGAAAATTAAAGTAGAGAAGCAAAAATACATTTCAGTGTCAGTTTAATCAGATTACTTCTGAGTAGGATTACTTAACATGAATGTCACGATTGAACTTTGGACAAAGTTCAATCTATGAAACTTTATGTTCTGCATGTTATGAGATGCTGCTTTTTTCTTTCTGTTTTATTTTTGTCTCTCATACTTTCGCAACTAAATAAAAACTTTTAAGTTCAGTTCACTTCGATATCTTTTGTTTTTAGTTTCGTGTGTGAACTGAATGCGACTGTGATTTTTTTTTTTTTCCAAAATGTTATTTTTCCGTTTTAATCCGAAATTAGAAATATAGTAAAATTAAGAAAGCAAACATTTGACAGAACCCCACTCGAAGAAGGTAACATTTTATTCGCATTTTAAAGTTAAAGAAGAAATAACTACGCGAGAATGACGTTCATGTATATGCTCTTGTGGTTCAAATTGTATATGAAATGGTTTTAATGAGACAAATCGGAAGAATTCCGTCTTTACTATTCCGAATTTCCTCTAATGTTTATTATGGAAACCAAGGTCCAAGAATGCATATTTATAAAGTTGTTTAAATATAAGATGTGTATATCTTGTTTCCATTTTAAGCACTGACAACAAGGCCTGTAATTCTTGCCCATCTCAGGATAAAAAATTAAGTATTTAATAATAGATGGAGAATACCTCTCCACCAAGAAAATTTCAACATCAATTATCAATAATAATGATTTTTCAACATCCGTGTCAAATTAAGTCAAGAAATTTGAAAATATTGTAAAGGAGAAAGGTGCAATGGACCTGATAATAATTCGAACCAGGGTCCCTATAATTTCCAGTCAGGTGCTCTAATAAATGAGCTCTCTGGCCATGCTCTGGTGATCAAACCCGTCTGACCGCCATATTACTCCCTCCTTAAAGGTCCTCTGCTCCTGAAGACACAACACAGGTCCTCCCCATTAGGTCTTTTAATTACCTATCACATCCAGGGCATGGCACCAAATGTAGGACAGAAGAAAATAGCAACTGACCAGAGTCACCAGAACAAGATTTAAATCCAGGCCCCCTGAAAACCCAGTGAGGTGGTCTACAAATTGAGCTATCTGGCCACAGATGATTGAACTCCTCTGTCAATCACAATATTATATAGGAATAATTAATTTCATAACTGGGAAGCTGTTTAATTTAAATATAATGAGATAGATTGTAGCTCTGTCATCTGCCTTATGAAAATGTCCACTTCTACAATAGTAAGATTTCTTAAAATTTCTTGCACATTATATTTTAGGACCAAAATGCCAGAAACCAAACAGCAGCTCAAAGAAGTCCTTCCAAAGCAGGGACTCCTCTACCAAGAAGACATGCCTACAGTGGTTTTGTGTAAGCCTAAAATTCTTCCCTTGAAGTCAGTGACACTAGAAAAATTAGAACGCATGCAGCGTGAAGCGCAGGACACAGTAAAACAACAAGAAGCTCAACAGCAGCAAGGAGACAAACAGGACTTCTTCAGTGATTACTCATAGTTCAGGAAACACCATAGAGACTTTCTTATTGGGGATAAACTAGACTTCTTCAGTGATTACTCATAGTTCTCGTGATGTTCTGAAGAAAGACTTATTTAGTGACATTTTATGGTTCAGAAGATCCACAGTGATTTTTTGCTGAGAAATCTTTCATTTTGTGTTTAACATGTACAACATGTATATACAATGTATATGAACATGCAGTTTAATTCAATGAGCCTGTTAATTTGTACATTTGAATTCTGTATTTATTAGGAAAAATAGAAATGGTTGTATTATTTGATTTCAAGAATTCTGAATGTGCATATGCATGCATTTTTTTCTTTGTGAACAACATACAATATTTTGAGTAAAATCCACCATTGTTTTATTGATATGACTTTGTGTAGTTTCATTTTGTATGATGTTTTATGATTCTATCTGTCTATGAATAATACATCCAATGTCATCTTTGATGTGTTATGCTTTCTTTGTACCAGTACAAAATTATTAAATTAAGTATTATGCATTGAATGTCTTGTATCTGCACAATCAATATATGCTGGTCCCAGCTGAGAAAGCAGGTAACAACATTGTCAGTGTTAGGATTATAATTGTATTTTAGAGGAGCTGAGATTTGATTCTGCAAGTGGCAAGGTTATCCCTAAGAAAGGAAATAAAACAGAACATTTAAAGATTAGAAGGGGATCTGGAGTTTCTCCCCCTAATGGGAAGTCAGTTTAGGAGGAATACCAAAATAACAAGGGGATTAAATCATTGTATGCAGAAAATCCCCCCTGGTCTTGGGGAGAATCCTGAAGTGGTAATCGAATTTACACTCATTGCTACTTTCCTCAGGAGGAAATTCTTCAAAATCCAATGTCTGTTTTAAAAAAAATTTCCCATATAATCAAATTGAATTACAAGATTCTTAATTTACAATAAATATGATGCATAGCAGCAGATTTCAGTAAATGTTAGACATGTACCAAGCCTTGTTCTTTACTCCTTACCAATATATTAACAGGGTGAAAGGGGGGCCTTTAGGAGTACAGCACTGTATAACAGTAAATTAAAGAAGTGTTAATCAGATGTGGATACTTAAAACTCCAAGGATCATTCATAAAATTTGAAAACAAAATTTTACGAAAATCTATATATTAACATCATAGACGTAAAACTTCAACACTTTATTCAGCCATTCCTCTAGTTAACTTAACTGGAATAAGACCATCTTCAAAAACTTTAAACCTATTATCTGCAGTTTAAGGACAAAACAAGGACAAAACACTGATATCCTCATATGGCTGCTAGTTTATGGCAAAAATTGAAGTTTTTCAACTGCAAGTCAAACTCAAGGTTAAGAGGTTTGGTGGAACCCGGAGAAAGTCTTGTCACAAAGAATACACCTGTAAAATGTGAAAGCCATAAACCCAACCATTCTAAAGTTATAGGCAAAAAAGTTAGGTTAAAAGTTTTGTGGACAAACAGACAGGCAGACAGATGCACGAACAGGGCAAAAACTTTATACCCCCCTAGTCTTCGATTATGGGGGCACAATAAACATGATATTTGAAACTTCAAATGAATACAACTTATTTGGTTCACAGAGGCGGATCCAGGGATGGGGTGGCATGCGCCACCCCTGACCCCTGGATGTGAATTTGGTCACAGGTTACATTTGCAGTATAGTATGCATGTGCATATGCAGATACATGTCCTTGTATGTGCCTTTATTGCCAGGCTAAAAACATGGACATGACATTAAACATTGCAGGAAAAAAAGAGCAAATTCCAAGAATTGTGGCTCTCCGCTTTCGGTGTCCTTGTGGGTGAGATGTCATTATTTTTAGCATATTATGTCAAATATGAATGCCCTATCATATGATATATTTCATTCAGTTGTTATCACCAAATTTGAATATTCTGAAAATTAGGTCAGTTGTGAATGTCAAGGTTTTTGTCAATATGTCACAGGTAATGCACATATCAAATATCTCTTCTCAATCAGAATTTAAGTTGAAAAAAACAAGATGTGTTTGTGAAACACTGATCCCCTCCCCCCCCCCCCCCCCCCCCCCATGGCATCATGGTGAAGGTTAATTTTTTTTTTTCAAATGCAAAACAGACATGTTGATACCCAACATGAAGGCCATCTCACAAGAATTACAAATGACAAATGTGAAATATAAAACCCTAGCACCACCTTTTCAAAAGTTATGACCAGGGTTAATGTTGTGTATGGTAGGTCAAACTCCGGGGTTAAGATCAAAGGGTCAATGTTAGTTTCTACAGAAAGGACTTGTAATAAAGATTACTGACATATGGAAAGTACCAAAGCCCTAGCCCTAACTGTTTAAAGTTATTGCCAAGTTTAAAGTTTTTTTAAAAAGTAGGTCAAACTCCATGGTCGAGGTCAAAGTGTTGGTGGTATGCAATGTCACAAGGATTACATGTATGAAGTATGAAAGTCCTAGCCCTTACCAGTTAACAGTTATGACAAATGTTAAAATTTTTAAAAAGTAGGTCAAACTCCAAGGTTAAGGTCAAAAGGTTAAAGTTGTTGGTATCCAATAAAAGGTCTTGTCACAAAGAATGCATGTGTGAAATATGAAAATCCTAGCACCAACCATTTAAAGGTTATTGGCAAGGTTAAAGTTTTTTTTAAAGTAGGTCAAACTCCAAGGTCAAAGTTGTTGGTATCCCATTTAGGTATTGTCACAATGAATACATATTTGAAGTATGAAAGTCCCAGCACCTATGGCCAAAGTAAAAGTTTGGAATTTTTGTGTAAAAGTGTGTCAAACTCCAAGGTGAAGAGGTCAAATTAGGTGGTACCCAAAGAAATCTCTTGTTACAAGGAATGTATTTGTAAAACAGACGGACGGACAGGGCAAAAACTATATACTAGTACCCCCGAAACTTCGTTTACGGGGGGCATAATTTTTTTTTTTTTTTGAAAAGTAGTTTAACGATATCCGATCCTCAGCCAGGAAGGATAACTCCAAAAATTAAGATTTAATTTGAAAGACATCAAAATGAAGCTTGAAAATTAATTTTTTTCATGCAACAATTTTCATTTTATTCATCTTTATAAGATTCAAGGTTTTTTTGGAAGTCTTAGAAAAGGTCTTATAAAAGTTGACATTTGTATTACCCTATAAAAGGAAAAAAAATACACAGTTTCAGAGAAACAAGATTTTCTTGAATCCAGCCTTAGATACCAAAGCTTATTAGCATGATATGAAATAAGAAGTGATTTGTGGTGTCTTGCAATGATAGCAAAAGCCTTTTACACTATGTATTATAGAATACATGACGGAAATAGAAGACAAAAATTATCAAATAAGTATAAAAATCATGACAATTTATCTGAATGCCTGGATACCTATCGTTTTTCAACCTAAAATATATTTGTTGATCAATTTGCAATTAGAAAATGCATTGCTGATATTCCAAATCGCCTTTTCTGCAAAAATATTGGAGATTTGACAATTTTCCCAATATAATATGATTAACTTTAATCTTTAACTTTAAAGAAATACTGTGGATAAATTTACATTACTTTGTGGATTCAGAGATATTCTTATGATTATTTTTGATTACTTAACTGCTAATTTTATAAACCTGAGGATCGGACTACCTTACAGGCACGTAGCATCGTTTTTGAAAGTGGGGGGGGGGCAACCTGAGAAATTTTTTTTTACTTACCTAAAAAAAGCTGACAAGCCCAAAAAAACTCAAAAAAAAAGGAAAATAAAAAATTGCCCAAACCCGAAAATCCTATTTCGTGGGGGGGTGGGGGGGTGGGGGGGGGTGGGTTAGAATCCAACTTTTTTCAAGGCCAACTTCCTTCCACTTCCAATTTTTTTTCCTATATTGCCTTCCTATATATATACTGTGGTAAAAAGTGGGGGGGCCAATCATCTTCTCAATGGACATTTTCTACAGTAAAGGTAATGTTGAGGAAAAAACCCTGTTGCTACGTGCCTGCCTTAAACTTGGAAGTCAAGGTCACGAGATCAAAAATCATAGTGTACTGTATTTAGAAAGGTCTTGTCATACTTAATACACAGGTATAATATGAAAGCCCTATATCTTCCGATTTCAAAAGTCATGACCAAAGTTAAAGTTTATTCAAAGTAGATCAAAACATCAAGGTCACAGGTTAAAAAAAATCATAGTGTATTTAGGTACAATAAAATTAAAATTAGATGTTAGATTGATTTAGTTAGGTCTTGTCACAGGAAATACACCTGTGTATTATGAAATTCCTACCTCATATCATTCGAAAGATATGACCAAGGTTAAAGTTTTTGAAAAGTAGGTCAAACTTCAAGTCAAGGTCACACGTTAAAAAACATAGTGTATTTAGAAAGGTCTTGTCACAAGTACAACACACCTGTGTAATACTATGATGAAATCCCTATCTTTTCTCATTCAAAAGATGTGACCAATTAAGGTTAAAGTTTTTAAAAAGTGGGTCAAACTTCAAGTCAAGGTCACGGAGTCAAAAATCATTGTCTATTTAGAAAGGTCTTGTCACAGGCAACACACATGTGTAATACCGGCATATGAAAGACCCATTTCTTCTCATTCAAAATTAAGATACATGTATAACCATTAAGGTTAAAGTTTTAGTGATGGACGGACAAAACTACAAATTAACTAACACGTACAGTTAGACGAATGAATGAAATTTGATGCCCCTTCGCTTTCGCGAAAGCGTTGGGGTGTTTGGAGGGAGGGACAAAAAACAACAACAAACAAACAAGATGTGTCTGTGAAAAACTGATGTCTGATGTGACTTTTTAGCAAAGATTAAAGTTTCTCAAAAGTAACTGATCAAGAGATCGAAAAATGCTGATATCCAAAAAAAACAAAAAAAACAAAAACAAGACGTGTTTGTGAAACACAATGCGCCCGGCGGCAACGAAGTTCGGAAAAAGCTATTTGTAGCATTAAGGTCACAGTCAAGATCACAAGGTCATTGACCTTGGTGTCATTTGGAAGAACCTGATTAGTGTAGTTTGCATACCAAATACGCAGCCTCTATCTCTCATGGTTCAAAAGTTATGGCGAAGGTTAAAGTTTGCAGAAAAAAACTATTTTTAGCATATAGGCCACAGTCAAGGTCACAAGGTCATTGACCTTGGTGTCATTTGAAAGAGCTTAATTAGTGGAGTATGCATACCAAATATGAAGTCTCTATCTTTCATGGTTCAAAAGTTATGGTGAAGGTTAAGTTCGGGACAAACAAACAAACAGACAGACAGACAGACAGACAGGACAAAAACAATATACGCCCTGGATCTATCGATCCGGGCGCATAAAAAAGACTCATCTCAATGAATATATAACTCGTAATGTGAAAAATGAGAGCTCAAGCACTAACCATTCAAAAGTTATGATAAAGTTAAGTTTTCCATATTATACATGTATATTACCTGTGACAATTATAAGACCTTTTTAAATATACTATTACTTCCTATAATCTTGACCATAAATTTGAGATGATAGCATCTCAACCACTAAAAGACACCGAAGCGGGGGAGAAAAATGCATATCCAACCTCACAAGCCCGCGGCTGTGGGTTGAATGCCATGGGAGGGGGGGGGGGGGCGGTCGCTTGCATGTGTTCGGTTGTGTTACATTTTATATCAAATAGCGCTATAATTTTAAGATTCCGAACCTTCAGCAAATTTGTGCATTTTCCCGCATTTTTTGGTGGTAACATATATATGTTCTAAATCATAAATCAATATTTACAGCATTATGCATTTGAAAATATTTTATTTCGTTTGCATGTTGTTAATTGATTGAACTTCTTTCCTATCCTGTGCATTATCTATCGATCAATTAAAAATATTCTAGCGAAAAAAAATAAATTCAGAAAAATATCCAAATATATTTGCAATATGCCTAAAAACATTTGAATTGTTGATAAACGTTGTAAAGATTTGTGTGATTAACCTTGATTATTATGTTAAGACTGGGATTAGATTTAAAAATTATACATAAAAGTGGGATTTTGACACGAGTCTGTCAAAAAAGGTAGAGAAAAATTAATTCAAAATATATAAAATATATTGAACTCTTTCATATACATTTAGTATTAGGCCTATATGTATTTTTTTTTAATTAGGCCTATTGTACAGTTTCCCAGTCTTTCTGAAAATTAATTTATATTATCAGCTGATCATGGTTTGTATATTTAAAGTCTAGCTTGTTTGATCATATTAATAAATAAATTTTTTTAAATTTGATCATTGATTATCGGTATACATTTTTTTCTCTTCGAAAGTTTACAAAAATCTTTCAACAGCATTAGTCTATGCAGTTCCTGGTACAACGTTGCAAAAGTTATTCATTTCAAAAGTAAAATGTGAAGAAGTGCAACGGGCACCTGTTGGTGATGACCAAAATATTAAAAAAACACTAATTAAACATTAATTTTGGCTGCCTAGCGACCAATACATATTCGGAAACAACCCCTAGCAACAATGAAGCCGATCAGCTGTTTTGAGTTAAGACGATTTCCCATAATGCACAGCGACTTTCTTCTTTGTTGTGAATGTGTCACAACTCGACATTTCTTTGTTTTGGGTTCGTGACTAATAACTGTGAATGGACCTCAGCAAAATGAACTTATTTATGTTGTAAGGATAGTGTACTTTGTTAGTATTGTGTATTGTTTGTTATATTCGTCCAGAAAGAGGCCATGGCTAGTGCGAAAAGTTCTGCGAAAGGGGAATTTCATGTTGGGGGAAAATATCGACTTGTGAGAAAAATCGGGAGCGGATCTTTTGGGGACATTTATCTGGCTATGAATATAGCTAATGGAGAGGTTTGTATAATTTGAAGACATACAATTAATTAATTTTCCATATAAGTTTATTTATAGCTGCTTTGTATTGTTATGTTTTCCTTGTCCATATTTTTCTCTTCCATTGTCTGTGTTTTTGTGGCGTTTGCAGGAAGTGGCCGTCAAACTAGAGTCCGTCAAGGCCAGACACCCCCAGCTGATTTACGAGAGCAAGCTGTACAAAATTCTCCAAGGAGGCGTAGGCATTCCCCATATACGGTAAACACAAAGACTTCAAGAAACATGTTCATCCGTGGTGGATCAAAAATTAAAGGGGGCGGGGCATTTATTTACATGATACAGTTCTTTGAAAAATGAATACAAGTATGTACTTTGTGACATCATATCCTCAAGTCAGTAACATGAATGACATAAGCAAATGGATGACATAAGCATACAGATTTTCCTTAGGCTATATTTAAACTTTAAAGAAGTTTAAATTTTATCGCATGATAAAAGATTATATAAGACATAACATTTTCTTGCAGTTTTCGACCATGTTGACAATGTACTATTTGGATCCTTTTAACAAGATATATGGTTTATCTTTTTTAATGTGTAAATCTATTTTGATACTATATATAGTATGCAAAATGATTTACCGTATAATCCCTATTAACCGCCCTGGGCGCTTAGAAAATTGTGAAAAGGGGGCGGTTATTTTTGTATTCTCTTTATGATATTTAATGTCATATTTTAACTTAAAAAATCTTTAAATAAAACAAATAAATACAAAGAACCACTAAAATAGTTTATAGCTTTTCTTAAAGTGAGGATAATCCACCCAAATTATCAGTGTTCTTGAAATCTTTTTTTCGCTGTCAGTCATTTGGACCGACTGCCATGTGAAGTTTGTCAGTCCAGACAGATTTCTATCAGTCCAAAATAAATTCAATAAAAACATGAAAAAAAAATTGTATTTAAATTTTATTATCAATAAACACGGCGTCTATATAAACACTGCACACTTCTTACCCTAGCACCGTCAAGAAACTTGTTTTAACAGTTAACCAATAGTTTGGCGCAAGTTAGAATAATCTGTGTCTCGGAACAAGTCCTCATAACAGTTATACTCGCAATGTAGCAAATAGTTACAGAATTGCTCCGAAACAAATTTGAAGTATAGAAAAGGATATGCACTGGAAATAACTTCAAAATTAATTACAACAAACCTATTTTTTAGGTCGCGTATGTCTTTCAACCTTAATTATGATCCAAATAAAGACGATAATTCAACTAATTTTCTTTCCGTTTTTTTCTCGCTTAAAATTTACACGCCATGTTTGCAAAACTCTTGGAATATTTGTAGTAAATATACTGAGTTCGAGTCATTGACCGTGTTTATTTTGCGACATAGTGAATATACGGAACAAATTCTATTATTAAACCGGGTCCGTAGGACATTTATCATTTTAACGATAGAACATTGTCTCTAAATTTGCACTTGTATTAATCAAGAAGCCATTACAACATGCAGAAAAAGAGTCTGAAAGATAACGATCGATCGATTATAGGGAATTTGTACGAAATTTAGTCGGATTTTCGCAAGTTCTCTGTCAACACCGTCCGGTCATTTGGACTGACACAGAACGGAAAGTAATCGGTCCTTGGTTGTTTCTATCGGTTTTGCCGACAGGACCGAAAGATTTCAAGAACTCTGAATTATGCTAAATTATTCATTTTCCACTGAGAAATTGGATAATAGACAAGTTTTATTTTCACTTTATCCAATTTTTTGATTCGATTCTAGTTGATTTTAATAATTGTACAGGGGGCCCTTATTTCCTGACAATTAAAAAATACCTAAGGGGGCGCTTATAGGGGCAGGAGCGGTAAATAGGGATTATACGGTATATGGCTCAGATTGGCTCTCTGTGTAAGATACTAAAAGAAAGAATCCCCCCAAGTGATTTTTATCCAATAAGTTTGTATATTTTAACCCATTAAATACACAAGCTTTAAATACCATATCAAACAAAAAATCTCTGGAAAATCTTTTTATGACATATATTTTATGCCTCAATCACTAGGAATTTATACTGTTTCTACTTTCTAAAAGTGAATTTATATATGAATCCACACATTATTAATTTACCATGATTTAAATCATCATGTTCTCACAAAACCCATTGTGAAATCAAAGCAGTGGGATATGAAAAAAAATATCCAATGAGTGATATCCAAGGGAAATGATGTTGAACATGAATGATGTGATAAAAGCTTTGATCACAGAATTGCTATGAGATATGATCACAGGAGTCTGAAGTTTTTATCGTAAAGAAAAAATCTGGAAAAAATTGAGGGTGGGAAATTTTCACGATAAAAACTTCAGACTTCTGTGATGTGATTATACCATATATCAGGTTTTTTTCGTGTCATTTTTTTCTGTGAATCAGAACCCAAATCTGTCTAGCTATACAGTTTGTACTGAAAACATCAATAAATATTTCAAGTCTGTGATTTCTATGAGAATTTGTTCAATACTGTAAAGGAGGAGAAACAAAAATAATTACCTACCTACCCACCTTAAAAAGCATGGGTTGGAGTACAATTCAAACAAAAATATTTTTAATGATAGCCTGTTTTGACAATATTTATCGTTAAATATTAACTGTGAAAAATTAAAATAATATTTGCCATTTTGTTTTTAGATGGTGGGGAGTAGAGAGGGACTACAATGTGTTAGTGATGGACCTCCTGGGTCCAAGCATCGAGGATCTGTTTAACTTCTGTTCTCGCAAGTTTAGTATGAAGACAGTCCTTATGCTGGCAGATCAGGTGAGTTGGGCCACTGAATGATACAATATAATACAGTAAATCAGGTTTATAGGGACGGGTCAGTAGCAAGCAGTTTTGATCTATTATAAATGTAACTTGAATTTTTTATATTATACAGTTGATTGGTTCTAGAGGGGAGGCTGAATACAGTTAATTTAATATTAAAGGGCACTGCGCAAAACTTTTATTGGATTGTAAATCAAGTTACTGCATGCTGCACAACTTCAGAATATAAAACTATCAATAAAGTATAGTTAGCTTCTCTTCTCACTGAATGCGCACTGGTAAGATATATGTGGAGAGGGGTGCTGCCCATGCAGTGCCCCCCCCCCCCCCCCCCCCCCCCAAAAAAAAAAAAAAAATTCTGTTTCAACCTGTTTCCTCAGTGATTGAATAGTGAAATGGATATTTTTGAAGCATAAAAATTGAATGTCGTTTATCGTATCTATAATATTATATTTGATGATTATGACCCCTTTAAAATTAAAGTGTGCATAAGTTGGTACAAGCTTAGTGAGTTTAGAGGCTTACATCGTTTAAAATTTATTGTTATGTGTACTATAAAATTTCATCTTTCTTTTTTTGCAGATGATTAACAGGATCGAGTTCGTTCACAATAAGAATTTCATCCACCGTGATATCAAGCCAGACAACTTCCTGATGGGTATAGGCCGACACTGCAACAAAGTAAACACAGATTACTTAAAACCAATATCATAGCTTCAAGTAGAACAAGGTTTTTATTGCAAAATACAATTAAACCAGGAAACTGTTTTCTGTGTTTCAATGGCACTGAAATTTATAGACGTGACACATTCCAAGTTTTTTACGGGAAGTAACTGCCAATTATTTCAAATGTCCTTCAAAGAGATAAGTGTGACCCATTAGAATTAAGTACAGGCAAATTGTATATGACTTTGCTTTATGAGTCAGCAAAACTGGAAAGGAAATTATACATATGGTAACTGAAATATGAAAGAAAAAATATGATGATCCACTAATTTTGGGCGTGGATCAAAATGAAAAAAATGAGTCCGCAAAATTGGAAAGGAAATTTTACATATGGTAACTGAAATATGAAAGAAAAAATCCATTAATTTGGGGTGTGGATCAAAATGAAAAAAAAAGGTGGAGTCCAAAATAGGAATATATTAAGGTGATAATGTGAACAAAGCTTTACTATCAAATAAACAAAATAGTTTAGCATTTATAAAAATCAACTTTCCTGTAATGAAATTTACATATGTACATGTTAAGGAGACATTTATATAAATAAGTACATTTTGTTTTTATTTTACAGGTTTATTTGATAGATTTTGGCTTAGCTAAAAAATATCGGGACAGTCGAACGAGACAGCACATTCAGTATCGCGAGGATAAAAATCTGACGGGCACAGCCCGGTACGCCAGCATTAATGCTCACCTGGGTATAGAACAGAGCCGCAGGGACGACATGGAATCATTAGGTTACGTGTTGATGTACTTCAACAGAGGTTCCCTCCCTTGGCAAGGGTTGAAGGTCAGTTTGAAATGCTGACATTGATGATTTATGAGTACAGACCATTTTACTTATTGTATATTGGTAGTACATAGAGGATATTCAATGTTTTATAGTTGAATATGGAATTTATTACACAAACAGTCCAGTCCAATACGAAAAATCGTAATGTTACGAAATATAGTAATATTACAAGAAATCGTAATATTACAAAATATCGTAATATTATTCTTATATTACTTTTTTTTGTAATATAGTTAAATTACGGAAACTCGTAATATAGCAAGTTAAGAGAGACTAATTATTACGAGTTTTCGTAATGCAAGACAAAATAAAGCATTGAAAGAAACTGAATAATGTTTATGGAAGTATGACGTCAGAAATACATTATGCCCCAATGGTACTAGTATCACGTGGTCATTTTGGTCAGTGACGTCTATCGAAAAGTATGGAAATGCAAGAAGAAAGTAACAATGGTAATGGGTGAGTGAACATTTTGTTTTATTATTCTTATATAAGAATTTTCCCAAGGATAGGAACAATTTTCCATAAAATTTCAATGTATCCTCAAGCTTGTCACAATGGTCTATAATCCCCGAATTCCCTATATTTTTCCCGAAGTCTACCCTGAAAATCGGACCCTAATTTCAAACAACGAGATATTACGAGAGATAACTTGTAAGACTCTCACTAGGCTCTGAATCTGCTTGCACTTGGATCAAATACACCAAAACAAAGAAAATGCACTAACCATACAATGTACATATCCACGATATCATAATGATGAAACCAGAGACCAATAATCTCTGATGAAACATAACAAAGAGGTTGTATCAGAAAAAAGGGAAGTAACTCTTAGAAGAGTTAGAAATTGCTTATATTACGAATTTTAGTAATATTACGATTTTTCGTATTGGACTGGACTGACAAATGGGACAAGATTTTTTTATATTTTCACGAGTGCGAAGCTCAAGTGAAAATATAAAAAAATCCTGTCTCACAAGTGAAATAAATTCCATATTCAACTACAAAACATTGAATTTTCTGTTTATTACATTTTCTTTGATTTTCCCTTTGCCTATTTGTCTTTTTGTATATACAGTCATAGGCTACATGACGTCATAGTTGAGCGGTTGAGACGTCATAGCTAAGTGATACGAGATTGAAAACATTGTAAACATGGATTTTAGCAACATATTTGGGGGAACTTTGGCAGTCTTATTCTCTGTCAGAATGGTTTATTTTCTCTCTATATATATAATAACAGTCAAAGGAATATTTTTACAACACTCTTCCTTATGGGAAGGTAAATCGAGAGTTTTACCGCACTTCTGATATTTGTCACACTGTGACAGTATATCACTTTTATTCAATGGATAAATTATAGTATTTCACTGTTGAAAATGTAATAAATTAACTTACTGTATGAAACATTTGCCTGTTATGGGCATCAGTTACACATAATGATTTAAAATTTTAAAAACATTTTTTCTATAAAAGTGATATTGAATCACATCCACTTGTGAGCATGAAATTCAAAAATATTTGAAAAAGAGGATGTTTTGCAGTCTAAAAATATTTGGTGAAAAATACAACAATAAATTTTAGCTCACTTGATCTTTTCCAATGAACAAGTCAATCTTTTTGTACTTACTGACATTGCCATTTATTTAGGCTGGAACTAAGAAACAGAAATATGAAAAGATCAGTGAGAAGAAAATGTCAACCCCAGTGGAAGTGTTATGCAAGGTAAGGAAGGACTTATTCATTAGGTGAAAAGGTAGTTAGGGCATGAAGGATTTATAAGTCCATCTTTAGAAATGGCCTGAATTTTCATACTACTCCCCTTATATGTAAATTTTGTGTAATTATGAAGAGAGGAACTTTTTTTATATTATTTCCCCTTGAAAATTATGACTTCACATCATTCTCTCATTGTAAGAAAGATTTGATCTGTTCAATTTTACGTGTATATGCAGTTCAAAAACATTAGGTTTTATGCTTTTATAAAAGAAATCTCTGAGTTCAAAAGGATGATAATATAAATAAATTACTGTTTTTTCAGTCTTTCAAAATGAGTTTACAATTTTTTTGTTCCCTACAAAGATATATTAGGGAAGACATAAATTGATGTCAAAGGGAATTGAGGGGGGGGGGGCTAACATCATACATGTTTGTCTTGATAGTGTATAATTTTCAGATACATGTGCATTTAATATTTTAATTTCCTGATTTTTTTAACAGGGTTACCCAGCAGAATTTGCCATGTACCTGAATTACACGAGGGGCCTAAGATTCGAGGAGGCCCCGGACTACATGTATCTACGACAGTTGTATCGAATTCTCTTCCGAACGTTGAATTACCAGTACGACTACGTGTTTGACTGGACCATGCTCAAACAGAAGGCAGCTAACTCAGCCACAGTGATGAATGGAGGGACAACACACATGGCCACAGCTGGTTAGTTTTTGTACTGATAGATTCTGACTGTAAACCAACTTTTATTCGCTTGCGAGAAATACTGTAAATGTATCATATTTGGCATGTACAATATTCTGCGGAAATTTAATTTTCAACAAGTGAGCAGAGATTTGATATAACGCTATCTAAATGTGCTAGATATAAATGTTTGATTTGCAAATAATTCTCAAATAATTTTCTCAATTTAGCGGACTCAGCTTTCCACCAAAATCACTAAACAGAATACACAGCTAAATGTAATATGTTTTCAGTATATGTGAGTTCTGTGACCTACTTTGATTTGTGAATATTAATTGTCACGAACCAATCATACTTTGCTAAGTTTTCTTAGAGAATGTTTCCTAAGTTCAGAAAATCATCGCAGATTTATTTTAAATTTACTAATGGCAAAGAAAGATGACGTGAATAATAATTGGTTTACAGTATAATGTAGCTGCTTTGACTTTTTATATCCCACTTTCTGGTTGAATTAATTTTACTTCTTGTTTACAAGTTTGTCTTATTTTTTAAGAGAGGGAAATTCTTGTTCTCCTGTTCCTATTGTGTACTATTCCTTAAAAAAATCACTTGTCTGACTATGAAACTGACCCAGAAAGAATTGATCTCTTTTATTTACATGTATCTTTTTTACAATTTTCAATTAATTAACATATTATTAGCTCTAAAGAAATATGCCTTATTAGATTAAAAATAATTCCCTACATACCAGTAAAATTATTAAAAGGTTTCTGGAAGGAGTGGTTCTGAACCAATTGTTATGATGTACATTCTGTACATGTAAATCCTTGTTTTGTGAATTTTAGTATCACTTAACTGAATATAAAAAAATCTTGATTACAGGGCGTTGAGGAAAAGAAATCAAAGAAAAAAGGCAAAAGCAAAGACATGATGAATCAAAACCTTCTTCTCATACTGGCTTTGGCTGTATTATCCCGATTTAAAAAGGACATATGACCCTGCAAATTGTCCATGTGATAGTGGGCAGTGAGTGATTGCAGAGAATGCTTTCCCATGTTTAAAGGGGGCATTGCTGATTAATGTGTGATTCTGGTCTCGAAGACTCTAAAAAGTGTGTAAAATTGAGTACATATAAAACTGTATTCATTTGTGCTAAAAGTTGGCTTTCTTGGCCAGAGGGTGGTTGTGCTATTCAAGTTTCTGAACATTTGTTGACTGTTGATTTTGCGTGATTTTTAGTTCTTTCATTTTCATATATTATGTGTTTATTTTTGTTAAGAATTATTGGAACTATGTGTATAAAAGTGGATGGGGTAACAATATTGCAAAATATTGTCAGTTTGAAATTAGATTTGTATATTCATGCCATTTAGATACATGAGTATTCCGTGAAAATTTGGCTTGAGTGTAAATATAGGATGTGTACACATTTGTAAAAAACAAATTGTTGTAATTTTACATTTGTTAAAATTACCATTAATACAGCACTTCATATTTTTTTTTAAGTTGTAAATAATAAAGTTAAAACATAATTAAAAAAAAGAACTTGCACTTTTAATTATCTGTATTTGTATGTATTTGCAAGGATGGGTTGATCTCACAAAATTTTCAAGGTATGCTTCTATTTCACATTCATCAGTTTATTGGCTGTGATGTACACTTTTCACAACATTTTACCCGATTTCTTTTTAATTTTAATTTCACAGTATTTCAGATTAATCTTACACAGGTTGTATCATGGTCAGTCATTATCTGTAAATAATTATATTTTAATCTTATGTATGTATACTGATTATAGAAAAAGAACCCTTGATTTTCAAAGTGTTTTTATTTGCCAAAAGATGTGTATTTATTTGATACACACTACATGTATATAGTGAGATTGAGATTCAAAGTTTTGATAATGGATCTGAATTGTTCACTTTTTGTAAATGTATCGGAAATTTTTAATGAATATGTGAGATTTTTTTTTACATTGTGTGTGTGCATGTTTTAGCATTTTGATATCAGGTTTTGAGATTTACATTCTGTTGTGTAACTGCTGGTTTGTGTGTTATATATAGCTCTTGTGTGTCGATTGTTTCCTTATTATTAACAAATTAATTAGTTGTGAGTATTTTTGATGACTTGTCATGAAGTAGATGCAATGAAAATTAGTTTAAAGCCATTTTTCCCGATGGGAGATTTTAGTAAACGAGAGTTTGTAATAGTAAAAAATACAAATTATTGTATAACTTAGGTGTGTCTATTTGTATGTCGAATAATAATGCATGACCTAGCTAGAATGTGAGAATTACATGTATTTTGTTCATACAGTATATACTATATACATGTATGTATTTTAAATAAAATTAGCAGTCACATGATGTACATATTCCTGTTCGATAGGGAGTCAAAAATTTTGATTTTGTGGTGTGATACGTTTTTAACAGTGAATTGATTTTCTGAGATTTATCAAATATGTATATTTTTAAAAACCGTGAAGTAATCAAACGTGTGTGTGTATTTTATTTTTTTTAATTAATTAACACCTCCTGATCCACTGTGCTTTCACTTTCACTTTTCATGTACCAATTCTTTTAGTCACTCATTTTCTGAATAACTTTACACTTGTTGATTTTTGAACTTTTTTCCCACTTGATTTTAAATGGGTGAATTTTTCAACCACTGCCATTACATATACATGTATGTGTAGTGATTTCTTTTGTTCAAACATTGTGATGTACAATGTACATAGACTTGCACAAAGGTTCAAATTATCTATTCCATGCTGCTGATATCTTGTACGTACTGTATGTGTACTTTTAAAAGCTGGCTTCATATTTTAGCAACTTTGGAACAGACATAAATGCTCTAATTCATGAATATTATAGATAAATTGTTACTAAATACAATGCATGGCCCAGAATGTGTAGCACTAATTCATGGTTTTGCCAACTAGTCTAAAAAGTCATTGCACTAAATTTTGATACACTAATTTATGAACATGTACAGTATGTTCTACACAAACATCTTGTCATATTTTTTTTTCACTTTCTACACTTTTTTTGAAAAATTTTTGTTTTGCTCACAATTTTTGCAATGAACACAATTTTTTCTCTTTTGCAATACAAGTTTTTTCCATCATATGGTATATTTCCTTGGTTTTGCAATACTTATTTTAAATTGTGCAATATGTGCATATTTGTCAAAGAAGAATTTTTTAAAATTTCATTGTGCAAATAAGAAGTAAACAAGTGCAACAAAACATTTTCCCTACCAAAATGTAATGTATATATACAGTGAATAGATTATGATTTACATCATAAATAACATGTACATGTATGTCATTTCAAAATTTTTTAAAACTAAACATGATTTATTTAGGGCATTTACAAACCATAGAGCCAAAATTTAAAATGTGTGATCCCTACATTTAACATGGTTAATTATATGAACATGTTTGTTAAGCACTTGTAAAATTTGTAAACTTTGATTTTTTTTGCAAGGGGCAGGGAGTCATCTGTATTAAATTTAAAATGAAAAGAATATTGTTTTTTAATCTCCTTTACTCTTTGGATTTGAAGTGGATATGTCTTAAATTACATATTTTGAATTTGCATTGATGAAATAGACAAAGAATGGTATACTGTATGGGCATTGAACCACAGGTATATATGCTTTGAAATAAGATTTAACAAAATCTCATTTTACGTGTGCATGTATTTACACTGTACTTTGATTTTACCAAAATTTCTGTTAGGTATAAAATGTCTAAAGTCGAACAAGATATAAAAATTTAACTTGTGGACATAAAGATCTGTTCTTTGTTCAGTGAAACCTGTAAAATAACGAGGAAATACTGTGTATAAGTGGAAATGATAGCGATACACAAATTTAGCCATTTGTCCTTGAAAATGGGTATTTTACTTTTAGCAAGAAGAAATTTTAGTGACTTTAAAAAGCTCACTAAAGATGCCATTTCAAATGAAACAAATTTTTTTACAGCAATATTTAATTTTAGCAAATCTCGGCACCCTCACTAATAATGCCAAAATTAAATCCTCGCTAAAAATTCTGCTTATACATACATGTAATTTTAGGTACCTGTTTGCTTCCTTTTGTTCACTGTATGTCCTAACCCCTTTCTCAGAAAATGTTTTGATTTAAGTTTGAAGCTCAAAAATCATTTCATTATTTGGTCACTTATATGATGGACAGGTTTTTTTTCTTCGTTTTTGAAGGTTGGAAATTCTTCAATTTAGTTTCATTGCATAATGTTTGATTTATAGGTATAATGGAAATTGATCATGAAACTTGTTCTAATATTAGTACATGTAGTTAAATGTTCACAATCATGTATCTTGTTTTCCCATGTAATGACTGAGTACTTTGTTGATCAGAAGTCAAGCAAGTAATAAAAAAATCTTGAATGATTGAACGAGTTATTTTGTTCTTTTAAATACTGTAGAAGTACTTCTTTTCTGTGTGGTATTAATTAGCACTATGTACGCAGTCACAAAACGATTCTGCGGAATTATGACCCCATGGTAAAAGGTAATATTTTTTGGTCTTCCTTTATGAACCCAGTTGATGTAGGAATATCTTTTGCTGAATTTTTTTTAACTTTTACCATATAATCTTTCTCACTTGATAATGACTTAAACAATTTTTTGACAATTCTCTTGCTTGAAAATTCTTCTTTGTAATATTATATGTGTTTAAAAATGTATGATCAGTTAATGTGTATCATACTGTGAAAAAGATTTGCATGACCAAAGGTCTAATTCCCATGCAACAGGTTTGTGTAAAAGGAAGGAATTTCATGAAATAATTAGGAAGTTTACTTTAGATTAAACATATTCATATGTTAATTATATTTAAAGTTTAATTATAATTAACATGTGAATATGTACATGTAGATGAATACTTTAAAAAACAAAATTCAGAAAAGCTTCCTGAAACTATAAAAAAACATATCAGTAAACTTAGATCACAAAATAAAGTAAAGCATAACTATTGTATTTATGGTTTTCACATTTATTCTCAAACAAATACACAAATATGGCATTTTGAAACATTTTCACATCATCAACTTGCATATTGATAAATTACGATAAAAAAAAAAGTTCCAGAAAAGATGCAGAGTTATGGGCCCTATCATGAAATCCCAAAAATGAACAATTATGCAGTTCTAAGTTTCTTAAAATTATAACCGTAATTCAATCTGAGAAAGAAAAATACTACAGTAACTCTACTTGTATTTCAGAATCAGAGATTTTTTCTTTTATATTCCTGGATTATATTCCATTTTTGACATAAATCAATTAATTTAATCAAAATTCAGAGTAAAAACAAAATTAATATCAGGCAAATCAATAAAGGAAGGAAATTAAAATTTGGCAAAAATGGAACAGCACCATGAAATCCTATCTCACAACCGTATACAATCTTCTCTTCTACATCTGAAAATGTGTTAATATTGACGTTTAGAAAGCCAATAAGAAATAAGTATTCAGAAAAGAATGCTATACATCTGAAATACATTAATTTAACTTACAATTTTATGATAGAAGTACATGTACCAGCTATGGCTTATACCAAACTACAAGATTATCACAGCTATACGTTGATTGTTGTGACCCATGTGGCAGACTGCAGGGATATCGCATGGGTGGGGAAATAATTAAAATGGAATTCCCTGGAAATAAAATGGAAGTCCCTGCTTTTCTCCCTCAACTTCAAAATGCAGATGTATCCACTTTAAGACAAATAAACCAAATTGATTTTAGTGTACAGTCAAACTTTGATATCTTGAATATTGATTATCTCGAATAGTCGAATAACATGGTTATAATGTTTGAGATGGAAATCCTAATTAAAACACAGACTTTTCTTTATCATGCTTATTTTGTTATATTGAAATTATATTTTGAATCAAAAGATATCTCAGAGATTTTTTTTTCTGAATCTTAACTCCATCAGGTATGAGGAGATGAGATTTGACTGTATATAGTGATCACTAACTTAAGTCCAAACTTATACAATTAACTTGTAAATTATATGTAAATTATTATGTAAATTGGTTGGTCTTGCTAATATACATATAGATTTGAGACAAATCAAAAACCAAAATAAATTAAAAAAATGGTTCTGGTTTTGAAACAAAAGAATAATATAGATTGAAATTATTTTTCACTAGCTTACCCTATTCCCACATGACCCCTTTCCAATCAGATAGAATTATGATCTATGGCAGCACTTAACCATATTCATGGTTGGATTTATTATCACAGTTTAATTTAGCACTTATCGGTACTTTCAAACAAAAAATGAAAAAATACAAACAAAAACCATCCATTTTCATTTAAATAAATACCTCATCTTCAGAGAATTAGCAAGTTACTTTATATTGTCAATTTACGTTATAGATAGTTTTCGATAGGCCTGAATTTAAACCTCCCGTTGGCCGCCATAATACCTCAGTGATTTTCCCTCTTTGTCTTACCAAGTTTAAGAAAATAGAAGAAATATTTGGTGGAAAATCTTTATCAAATAATTTTTTTTAAATAAAGCTTCCAAAAATTCATATACTTCAGAAAAATAATGATTTCTAATTCAAAATAGCAAATATAAAAATTTTTAATTGGTTTGAAGGTCATTTGGAATTGGCGGCCAACGGGAAGTAACTCTTGGTCAATCGAAAACTATCTATACAGGGAAATTTTAGCCTGTGTTTTATTTTTGCCCCTTTTGTTTCAAGTGGGTAAATTTTAAAATGGGGCAAATTCAAAGAACATATAGTACTGTTTTTCTAAAAATTAATTTTAATCAGGCGAATTTTAAAACAGTGCAAAATTGTTTGCAAGTCTTAGTCTTAAGTGAAAATAACACAGGATGAAAATAACCCTGTATGTACAGTATTGATATAATTCGTACATAAACCTCTTCTATCGTTTACCAGTACTTTTGTTCATGACAAGTTAAACAACACTTGCACACCATGATATACATGTATATTGATTATATACCATTAAATACATGTATGTGTGATTTCTGAAACATTTTATCTGTAGACTCTTCATAATTTGTATTCAGTCCCATGTTGATTGACATCATTGCAATGTACCTGAACTCAAGATGTATATTTATATATTATGAGCATCTATTAAATGAAATGAATGAATTGCAAAATAATTACACATGTACTCATCATAGATGTATTTTGTTGAGATATTTTTATGTACTGTTATAAATCGATGCTTAGAATTTTTTCTCCCAAAATTTCACTAATAAAATTTCATAAATGTCAGAATCAAGCCAGAATTTCGAAATTTAACCCTTCCTTCCTCGACAAAAACTGCAAAATCTCACATTCACTTGTTAATCCAAATGACTAAATCAAAATACCATCACATGTATGATTCAGAGGTCAAAGGTTAGAAAGGTCAATGTCAATCACAGCATACATCCAAATGTTCCACTAACTGTGCATGGCAATCAGCACTAAAACTTTGGCCACACTTTGGACAAGACAACATTTGGCCGTTACCGGTTTCACTTTCTGAATCGTTGATTTCATCAAGGTCATTTAAAGAGGGAACTTTAAGTGAAAGACCCAGGTCAGAGTCTCCTTTATCAGGGGTTGGAAACTCATGACTATTTTTAGAAAAACTAGTTTGGGTCAAAGGTGAAGTACTGTCCATTTGCTGGGGACTGTCAATTTCATTCATATTCTGCACAGTATACAAGGAAGAACTGACGGTTTGACCAGAATGACCTTGATCCATTGTCCTTTGACCTTTAACCTGGTAACTATCAACAGGTAAACTCTTTGGTGGCTTAGGTTCTGGACTATGGCTGGGACCTCTTGCAGCAAGCTGGGTCTGAAAAGAAATACACAAAGATCTAGAACTCAGCTGAGAAAAGCTAACTCCAACCAAATACTTTTAGAAAAGTAACAAACATAAAGGACATTGTACAGTGGACCCTCAGACATCTGGATGCTTCAGTATCCGGACGACTTTTCTTTAACTGAACAGAATTTTTTATTGCTATTTGTTCTTGTTTAACTGGTAATTCAGATATCTGGACGATTCACATATCCGGACAAATTGACTAGGACCAAAGCGTCCGGATAAATGAGGCTCCACTGTATATTATGCACTTATTAACATACCTCCATAGAATAGCCCTGGTTGACCTGATTTAGATTGAAGTCATTATAGAGAGACTGGTTGGTGAGAACGTTATAATCCATATTTACTTGAGGCAAGCGGTTCCGGCCGACTGAATCTCTCTGTAATCAGAAGGTAACAGATTAATGTAACCCTGTTGTGCGTGGAATTCACTATACTGGTGTGGCAATTTGGACATTTTTAGTGAATTAACCATAAATTTTATCGAGTAATAGAAAAAAATGGCTGGTTTAGCGGATGATTTATGAGGCATTTTAGCAGAAATTTAAAGTAAATGAGGATGTTGGTGTAATTCACTCCTAATCATCTACCATCTCACCTTGCTATTTTCAGACTCGAGCTGAGATATTCGAGTTTTATATCGATCTCTCTCAGCTTTAACTTGTCTCATTTCCTCTTCTAGTTGAGATATCCTGTGCTGAGCTTTTTCTCTATCACTTCTTTCATATTCAAAGTCTTCCGTACATATTTGTATTTGGTGTTTTAAAGCCTCGATTGACTCGGAGTTGCTGCTGAGACAGGTTCCCTCCCGCCGAGAATTCATCTCCTCGCGGAGTTTTTCTACTTCCTGTGTCAGGTGGGAGTTGTACGTCAAGGCCTCGTTTAACTTTGTTTCAAACTAAAAATAGAGAAAAGAATGTTAAATCATGCTTTGCATGTCATGGAAACATATAGATGCTCTAAAGTCTAAAATGGGAATTAAATATGCCTGAATAAGATATTGATAAACCTTAGAAGAAACTACAAATATTAAAGCAGTAAAATAATTTTGCATGAAATTCAGTACAAGTATGTATATAGAGATGAAAAAAAGGGTAGTTGAAACCTTTTACCTGAAAAAATTGATCATAATATTATTCTGTTTCATTCATGACATTGACAAACTAATAGTACACTTGGGCATTTGAGGAATACTAGTGTATACAGGGAAATTTTTGCTTCTGTTTCAGTTTAACCCCCTTTATCTTTGACAAAATGGAGCAAATTCAAAATGGAAAAATTCAACTTTAACTAATTTATCTTTTTTAACAAAACTGTGTCTGCACCACTCTGATTAAAATCTAACCTTCCTTTAATTTTATTTTGATTGCTGTGCGAATAAAAAGAAACTTGTGTCAGTTAGGGGCAAAATTGATTACAAGTGTGAAGGGACGAAAGAAAATGGAGAAGAAACAACCCTGTAATTACAAAATGTCTGCCCCTTACCTCCTTCTTCTGATTTTCCATTGACTGCAGCTTTGTTTTGGCCTCCTCTAATGCACGGTTGATTGATTCCTCTCGCTCAGGCGTGACCACGAAAGCCTGGTTAGCCTCCATTTCAGCGGTCAACTGCTGAATTCTCTGCTCCTGCATCGTGTTGTAAGATTGCCAGCGATGGTTCATCTTTGTTACCTGTCAAGATGGTCAAATAATTATTTTATTTTGTCGTCATGATAGAATGATCTAGGATCATAATTAATATAATTAAAGTGGTACAAGTATAGCCAGGATTGCTTGTCCAAAATCTTGTTTTAGGGAAGTCTGCAGGAAACAGGAGAGCCAAATCAAAACAAAAATTTCCCTCTGGAAATATATTCTTCATTTTTAATTTCAATGTGACCTATAAAAACTATTACGGATTTATCTCTTCATTTTCAATTGATATATATTTTTTAAACACCTATTAAAATTTTTACCTCTCCTTCCAATTTAACACATACCTCTTCTAGTTTGGACTTCAGTGTAAAGTTTTCTTCTCTCAGTCTTTCAATCTCCTCTGACAACTTGTCTGACCCCTTTTAGAGGATAAAAAAAACTTGAATTAGTCATTAGAAAAAAATTAATTAACATTTTGTAAGTTGTGAATAATAAAAAGTATGAAAATGCTAGAAAAATAGATTTACACTAAAATACATGTAATATAGATATACATTTTGCACTTTCAATTTAACCCCCCCCCCTTTAAAAAAACTTTCTCAATCTATTTAATTAAATAATATAAAATAAAGTTTTTATGAGAATATTTAGGATAACTAGGTGGTGAAAGTCTGCTCTATATTCTTTATATACAATTCTTCCACTAGGGGCAATAACTTACCTTGAGTTGTGCCCCTTGTTTGGTTTTGCTGTTTTCCAGTCGTAGAGCCATCTGTTGGCACTGTGTCCCCACGTCCGTCAATTGTTGTTGTAGGTTGTTTTTCTCCTCCGCGAGAGATAAACACAACACATCTCGCGTACGAGAGCTTTCTCTTAGTTCCTCAACTGTTGTGGTCAATCGCCGAATCTGGGCATCTTTTTCATCAGCTGAATTCGACAGAGCTCTCTCGAGGTCATTCAAGCGAGACACTTTGGACTCAAGCTGTTGCTGAAGGGTGGAATTTTTCTGGGTCAGCTCTTTGACTTTCTAAATAAGAATAGTAAAACTGTATTTAATGAAATTGTTATAACACAAATGTTGTAAAGAAATTTGTAACTTATTATTGCTGCTATCCAAGCTGGGGTTTCCCTCCAATTTTGAAAGTTTATTCAGATACAGGATCTATGATTTTGTGTAGAGGGGTTGCTATACTATACAGCAAGGTACTTGTTCACTTTATGTCCCAAGCAGGTCAAATTAGATTTGACAGCTAGGTTCAGGGTAGAGGGGGGGGGGGATCAGAGCTCCTTAACCTAGCTCTGATAATATGAGCAATAATAGCATGATTAGGAGACCCTATTTTGAAATGTAATGTCCATAAACTGACCGTAATTTTACTTTGATCTCATTTATTTTATCAATTGTAAGACATTGAAATTTTTATTTGATATTTAATTTTTTATTTTTAAATTAGTACTAGGGGAAGACTGTGCCAGAAATGATAGTCATTCATTTGTGTTACTATGTTTTAGAAAGGCTTTGTATGTATAATTAACATGACTATAATTAAAGCAAGTGTATATTATTCTCATTTAATCACTACATTTGGGCAGCTATGTGTATAAGGCCTACAGAAATAAATTGTGTATTTCCGGTTCCCTGACCGATGCTAAAATATTATATAGCAGCCAACACTGAAAATTTTTTTGTATTTAAACCGTATTAACAATCCTAAAATGCTAAAATATTATATAGCAGCCAACAGTGATTTCCACAGTAAAAATGGCTGAGTGCTTGCCAATAGAATGTTAAAATAAAATGTTTTCCCAACCTACTTACCCTAGCTTTTTTTTTCCTAAGTTGGAATAGGAAACACTATTTTATTTATCTTGGCCTCACTGCCATATATTTGTACCAGTATAGCATGAAGGGCAACGCAATTAAAAAAAAATCAAATGTAACTTGCAGTCTAAATATAGGGAGCCAGATTGACTCTGATCCAAAAATTTTTCCAGGGGGGGGGGGGTCCACCCTCAATCCAAAAAAAAAAAAAAATACAACCGTGCTTTTGAGTGTTGAGCAGGTGTCATCATTTTCGGGGGGGGGGGGGGGTGTCCAAGGTCACTTGTACTTGCTTTAGTATATACATTTGATAACAATCAATAACTCTGCAAATTCCAGCCCCCCCCCCCCCCCTCTTGATAGGAGAGCTGTGTTATAATTAGTTCACATGTCATTATAGAGACTTTAAATCAATTTAGTTACAAAATAACTGTTTTCTTTCACTTGTTCATTTTTCAATACTAAAAAATATTATTTAATATATTTTAACTCTATTATATTATTTCCCAACCAATTTAACTTATTTTTCAAATATCCAAATAAAGAATATTCATAATATGTGATCATATAATTGTAATGACTAATCAAAGACAATATATTATACACATTTATACTGTGGTTTATATATTAAAATGTCATTGGTTGAAATTAAAGTTCAAGTGAAAACTCAGACAATCTATTAGTATTTAACAGTGGTTTTTTTGTAAACAATTAAAACATAATGTGAAAATTTGCATGTGGAATCTTTGATGATTATCAGAAATTCATCAATTTTATCAATTCCCAATCACTGAATTTTTCTATTTAATGATTTATAAGGCCAAAATTAAAAATATCTTTGTTTCCCCTAACCCGACCCTAAATTCTCAAGTTTGTTAGGTAAAAATTTTATTTTCTGACAGCAGCTTTTGAAATACATTCTAAAATTTAATGGAAAATTACCTTAAGTTTATAAATAAGAATAGTACAAAAGAAAGCAATTTGTGAACAAAATGCTAAGTATTAGATATGCCGTTTAAAAGCAAATTTCATGATTTATTAATTCACAACTGTTATTTAGTTGAACTTGTGAAATATCTCACGCCATTAAATTTATATCAATTGAATAAAATAGACAAGATTTTCAAATACGCAAAGACAAGACAAATCTTCCATCAGCAATTTTCATTCTTTATGGTTTATAAATTAATATGGTTTATGTTGTGACCATTGGAGCGAGCACAGTTGTACCATCAAAAACACACTTGAATTGAACTTGAAACACTGATCAGCTATCAGCTTCAGAGCTTATAGATGATCAATGTATTTTTTTGAGGGCCATGAGATTTGCAGTGGTTCTGGAGCATTTTGCTTTAGAGTTAAGAAGTAAGTGGCTAATTTTAAATCGCAGGTTCAAATCCCAATGAGAAACGTTGAAAACGGTCCTGTAAAGGCACGTCTTAATTTGGAGCAATGGAGAAATGTTTAAATGTCGTCCTAAGAAATCTCGAAGGGATTAAAAGCAAAGAAACAACTGATCTTCAAGGGCCTAATTAAAGAAAAATACACTGGACGTCTCAGGAAGCTGAATCAAATTTTAAACCTATTTGGAAAAAATATTTTAACAATATTTAATTGAACGAAACCGGATCTACAAATGATAAAAGTGCTATACAATGTCATATTCAAGAAGTTTTACCACTAAATAAAGTCATGAAGAAAGGACATCTGAATAATATTTATCAGAATGAATATGCAGACATATTTACAACAACTCCTATGGTTCCATAATGGCATACAGTAAACATAGGAATATAGATGAACTGCTTATTAGATTAAAACTCAAAATTAAATAAAATGCAGTGAAATTGAATGAAGTGTTCACTAGGTGGGCCCCTCATCTACTCATGGGGCGGGTCTTACCATGCACACATACCTTAAAATTCAAAGACAGGTTTTTGTTTGTTTGTTTGTTGTTTAACGTCCCTTTCGGAAATTTATTCACTCACATGGAAACGCAGGCACCTCCGAAATACTCTTAATTAGTCATGGTAAATTTTATTATCGAATTGTTTTCAAGAGTGAAGAATTCCTATTAGCTAAAAGCATAAGATTGAGACGTCGCCTTTGTTTTATGAAGAGCTAATGCCTTGTAATCACATTTGGACATCATTTTGTTTCCAACAAATGCTTGAAAATCACAGTAGAACAATGTCGGCCGTTTTGATAAAAACTGATATTGATGAAATTGTATTTTATAAAACTTGGTTAACAATAAAAAAAATATTTGAATCATCTTATTTAAAAAATCTTGAAACTGGGTCGGTCGCGTTAGGGGAAACAAAGGTATTTTTTATTTTGGCCTAATAATTCATTCTTTTGTTGAAAAAAACCCATATACATCAAACTAAACATCGACCAAAGTTTAAAATAATAATTATCTTTAAATTTTCCTTAAATATTCTTTTTTATTTAGTTTTTAATTGAAGTGAAAAAAAAAATAAGTAAAGAATATATTATATCAATTAAATAATCATAAAAATCACAATGAAATAAAAACTGTATCAGTACCAGGATGTAAAATATTCAAATTGTTTGATATGGACTATAATAAATATCGACCTGTATAAAAATTAACTTCTGTCAAATTTCTATCTAAATCTTAAATGGATGTGGTTAGAATACTTGACAAATCATGATTATGAAAATAAATTATATATGTAACTGTTTTGGGGAGAGGAAACACAGAAGTCTTTCTTTTAGTTGTAATGATTGGTTCTTTAAATCCTCCAATCACGAGCCAAAAATACTTACCTGTTGTAAGGTTGGAATTTCTTCCGGGTCGCTTGGGGACGATCTCAAAAGCTGTTTTAATCTCGAATTTTCTCTCGAGAGGTTTTCTAAAACTTGTTTCGAGGTACCGGGAATAAAAACATCGTTTTCCTCCAAACTGAGACTTGCTGACAACCCATTGTTTATTAATCTACTTTGAAAATTCCGAACAACTGTCTCTAATGTCTTCACTTTTTTATTTAGAGTAACACATTCCTGTTTAGATTCTTGTAAGAGTCTTGAAAACGTTTCTACTCCCCCGTGGCGGATCTTGTAGGCATGTAGTTCAGCTTGACATTGTTTCAATAGAACTTTCATATGTTCCACTTTCTCTTTATAGCTGTCCCGTTCCTGTTCAAGACTTTGATGCACAGAGAACGAAGACTCGGTGGAATTATTTCTGGTCATTTCTGTCGCCATCTAAGCAAAAGATTTAAAATGACACATCAAATTTTTAAAACGGTATATCCAACGCTTTCAAATACTCCACACCAATGTGAAAACAACACTCTCTTGTACAAATCGATACTGAAAACGTGACACAAGTGGAATGTCCTGGTCAACGAATGTCCAGGTTTTATGTTCCTGTGTAGTAAATATGCTCTAAAATCGATGAAATTTGGAAAATTTAACAAAATAGATTCGATGGACTCCAAAACTTTTAACCAGTATCGTAGAATTCTTACCTTTAGGCGCAGAATTAACGGGAAATCACACAACCCGATCCTACGTTGTAAAAGAAGGGGCTTTTACCAATCGACCTCAGAGCTATTTTTAGCCATTCAAATTTCGTGGGGGAAATACCTTATAGTCTGTTTCTCTTTAGAGATGTCAATCAAAACAACTGAAAGTCCCCACAAACGTTTCCGTTAAAAAATGTGTCAATGAAGTTTTGTTTTGTTTAAAATGAGATATGTGTAACTTCAAATTTTATTTTATTTTAATTTTATTTGTGTGTTATACACAATTCCTGAGTCAAACTCAAAGGGAATGCCATGTACACGTGCGACTGTCTATATAAATTATGTGTAATATATATCGGGGATGGAGTGAATGGTTACTTGATACAAGATTTATATCATTCATGAAATAACTACCTGCAATCTTTTAAATAAAAGTTCTTTTAATAACTGGGCGCCGGATCTGCAGTCAGGATATTTGGCTTTTTTTTTTATTTCATGACAACATGGACAATTACAAATTAATTAATTAGACAAGTTCAGTGTAATAATAAAAGACATTTGTCAAAAGAAAAGTGCGGTTAAGATGTTGATGATGATTAATAAGGAACAAATAACATAATACAATGTAAAACTTGTTTGAGATACCTTACTCACGAGGATCCAGGTTTTTTTCAGGAAGGGTAGCCAACCATGCAAGACAAAAATAAAATTTACAAACTTTAAACTATATTTATATTTTATGTGTGTACCGTACGTTAGGGGATGACTTTTAAAAAAATCTTTTGAAAGCGTCTATGTTAGCCTAATTAGCCTATTCCTGCCACAACTTTTCTAAGAATGGGGATTGGTCCAAGGCCACCTTTAGCTACTTAGAGAAAAACTTCACAAAATCCAGGGGGTCAGCCCCCTTTTAGAATCGTGCACATACGCCTTACATTAAAATATTATTTTTTGTACTGAGGGCAAAACTAATGATGCGTCCGCTCATGTTCTTTGGTCCCTGTTTTGCTTCAATGTTGTAAAATATAAAGACGATTACGTAAATGCAAAGGAAATTATTTAATTTCGTTTTAAAGCGACTACGTACTCCAAGTCCTGATATATCAAAACAAACATTGCTGAGGAAGTGACAACATTTTTGGAAGCAACAATCTAACTGATAACGTTATATGTCCTTTTCCCCGTTTCCAAAAAAGGAATATCTAACGATATGATTCATCATCAAATGATTACCAAAATTAATGTATCTTGTGCAAGGAAAGGAAAGACTGTATCGAAACTTAATTTTATCCGCATGACATTTTCAAGTGATGACTACTAGTATTATGATTTGACTATAGTAATTACAAAAGTCCTTACCACTTTGCATTAACCCTTGAAATCGACGCCGAATAAAGCTACGTCATGGATGCCGTTATACTATGACGTCAACTCAGACGTGAAACATTGCCTCATGGGACAAAAAAAAAATCGTCAAATTGATAATAAATTAAATGTCTTTACTGCATATTACACTCATATGGATCAAGCATTTCATGAAAAAAAAACAAAAAAAAAAACAACAACAAAAAAACAATGAATGATACTTACAAAGAAGCACCTGTTTTACCAAGTATAGGATGTGTATATATATATAGTTTTCTAGGAAAATGCGTACTTCATTATAAGTCATGAATATTCATTCAAATAATTTTTAATCACAGTGAAGTAAATTAAGCAAATACAGGCGCGGATTCAGATTTTTTTTCCAAGGAAGGGTGGGTGGGGGGTGTCCAACAAGCCAAAACAATTTCCAACCAAGACATTTCTTGTCAAGCATAAAAAAAAGCTAAACTCATTTCCCAATTTTTACGTGAAAAAACCCCAATTTTGGGGTGGGATGAGGGGTGGGTCGAGTAAACGTTGACTACATCAATTTCACACATACATACGTGTTTTCGAGGAGTTGTCCGCGTTTTCTAGGGGGGGGGTATACCATCCATTCTCCATTCCTCAGGTGCGTGTTGAATAAAAATGCATAACTTTAGCGCGATAACACGAGACTTTCGAATAAACGCGCAACTTTTGCGTTATATAATAACGTTTTACTGCATAATACGAAAGCCCATTGATACGAAAGCCCAATGAGCTCATTTTCGTAAGTAAAAAAATTAATTTTTCGCGTTATAACGCGAAACTTTCGCGAATAAACGCGAACTTTCGCGATATAACGCGAAACTTTCGCGATATAACGCGAAACTTTCGCGATATAACGCGTAACTTTCGCGTTATAAAGCGAAACTTTCGCGAATAAACGCGTAACTTTCGCGATATAACATGAAACTTCCGCGATATAACGTGAAACTTTTGCTGTTTAACCAAGACATTTGCTTAAGTCTCAACTTTCTTTTGATTTTGTGATCAAGTTTATTTATTACAATGATAAGTAAAAGACTATTTTAAACTTGGACTATCACAGCTACAATTCATAATTTATGTTTCTATAGGGTAAAAGTTTTAGTCCAAAATGATTGATTGCTTCAAGGGGCTGGGTGGTCGTGGCCATTTTTAGACTATTTAGATCTCCTTTAGAAGAAGAACTCCATATAAAATATACAAAAATGAAATGATCAAATTTTAAAACTAATATTTATGAGATTTTTCTTTGTCAAATGATAGTTGACAGCTAAAGATATCATATCTAAAAATTTAAGTTATATCTGGTGGTTGATTTGTTGACCCCCAGCCTCCTTAATTAACTAGTGGTACAGTTGTAGTAAGTGTTACTGATTAAAAAACAGCTTGAAGAAAGTGTCAAGATTCTTCTTAAAAAGTAATCACCCCGTGGGGATCCGGGTTAGAATAGGTCCTCAGTACCCCCTTGCTTGTCGTAAAAGGCGACTAAATGGGGCGGTCCTTCGGATGAGACCGTATAAACCGAGGCCCCGTCCCAGGTAGCACAAAACGTTTTCATAACATTATATTCCGGTTGTAAGGATGTTATTCCAAAACGTTTTTGACATAACGTTTGAAAAATGTTTTTATAACGTTTTATCTAGGTTATAATGACGTTTTTAGAAAACGTTTCTCAAAAACATTTTTAAAATGTTTTTCATAACGTTTAATACTGGTTGGAAGGAAGTTTTTAGAAAACATTTTTGCATAACATTTTTATAATTATAATAAGAATTTTTTTTATTGCTTAAAAAGCATTATAAAAAATGTTTTCATATTCCATTGTTTGAGAAAAACTATTCTAAAAACTCATAATATGATATTAAGAATATACACAGTGTGTTGTGTAGAAAACGTTTCTCAAAAACATTTTTAAAATGTTTTTCATAACGTTTAATACTGGTTGGAAGGAAGTTTTTAGAAAACATTTTTGCATAACATTTTTATAATTATAATAAGAATTTTTTTATTGCTTAAAAAGCATTATAAAAAATGTTTTCATATTCCATTGTTTGAGAAAAACTATTCTAAAAACTCATAATATGATATTAAGAATATACACAGTGTGTTGTGTACGTTGACTCAAATTTTAAGAATATTTATTTTTAAATTGAATGAAATTTATTATAAATTCCGATCACAAATGATACCAGAAAACATGAATGTAACATTGTCTTAAAATGTTTGGAAAACGTTGTTAAAACGTTATAGAAACAACAAATATCTCTATATATTTCAATTCTTAAAAAATATACATTTAGTATTTCCTTTTTTGTTTATTTGTTATTAATACTAGGTGATATCTTTTAAAGCATATTAGGGAAAACTAGAGGTACTGTGAGCGATGAGCTCACTAAATGATACCCCCCGCCTCCTATATGGTTATAACTGGTGAAAAAGTCCATGTTTTCCTGTGGCCGGGAAACCCAAAATATGTGTCGAATCAAAAAGTAAAATAGGAGGTGCACAATGGCAATATGTATAATAAAGATTCTGTGAAAGTTTCATCAAATTTCATTCAGTGGTATGAGAGGAGTTGCGGATAAGAGATGGGTACCCCAAAGCGTTACGGACGGACGGACGGAAGGACGTACAACGGACGGACGGAATTAACGATTACTATATACCCTCCCGCTTTTCAAGCGGGGGGTATAAAAAATTAAACAAAAATGTTTCTAATTCAGCTATTTTTTAATTGTTTTATATGCCACATTGATTTCCTAAAAAAAAAAATAATAATGATTGTGAAAAATGTATAAAAACCCATTTTAAAATATTTTTTCTAAGATGTGATGTAGTTCAACAAAGTAATGCAGTGCATTTATTCACTTGTGTTGTTTCCTCCTGGATAACGCGTTTATCAAAAGTTAATTGATTGACACAGCGGGATGCCGTGGTCAGCGCTGATGAAACCGCTCCTTGCTGCAAACTATTTCCACGTGATCTATATAGGTCAACTTATCAAGATTTTGAAAAACCGGGCAGCATTCTTGAGAGACAAAGAACAGGATTTAGGGAATATTTTACATCACCCTATGGTATGTTGAATTTAAAGTAGTATTCATCGTGTATACATGTATTAAGAAATAGTATTATAGCTGCATGTGTTTGTATAAGCCTGAATCATTCCTTGTAAACAATGGTAAATGATTGTATATATCTTGGATATTTGAGGGCGGTTAATTGGTTGTTTTTGAAGTAAACTGATCATTGAAGTTTATTATGATTGTGCATTTATTTTACATATGTATTATGTCTTGTGTCTAGTGTGAATTTTCTTTATTAATGTGTACTTTAGTATAATCACCCCAGGCTTAGAGATAGATTTTCAAATTGAAAGCTTCAAAACATGATTTAAATAGATCGAGTAGGTTGAGTTTGCGTGTTTGTGTGTGTGTGTGTGTGGAGGGGGGGGGGGGCTTAACGAGTTGGTTTAATACTTCTTTGGAAATGTAAAATGATTTGTATTTATATACAGTGTCATGTATATATTTTTCAATTTACAATTCTCAAAATGAATATCAAATTTTCATTTTGCAGCGGCTGTTTGCAAAGACTAAATATTACATGTTATGAGAGGAATTGGACAGAACGAAGTTTGCTACACACCATCTTTGAGGGATTTACCGGGGTATTAATTTTTAAAGGTATGTTTGAAATTTCCTGACACGAATGCATAACGGAGAAAGATTTATCATGTTTATTTAGTATATATTTTATAGAACTGTTGCCAAAAACATACACACTTTTCTTGTATTTATCGGATTTATGACTATGTATAGTTTTTAAATCTTCTAAAATTATTCTCTATATCTTTGTTTTTCAGAAGAAAACAAAGAAGTCCAAGTGCCAAACAGATGATTTCCAAAGGAAGAAGGATATAGTGATTTTTTTTATTATTTCAATTGTGACAAATCTTCCCTGTTAAGAAGACTGTTATTGACTGTGTGGATGTAAAAAAGAGTTCATGGATTATATTTGTGAAAGAGTTTAAACCAATTAAAACCATAGGAAGTACAATACTTATTTTGTTGTAAATTTTTTTTAATCCTTTAAAACATGTTAGAAATGTTCTGAAAACGATTTTAAAAATGTTTTGAAAACGTTTTCAAAAATGTTTTCCAAACATTGCAGGACAATGTTTTTGAAAAACGTTATGATAACGTTTAAAAAACCATACAAAATAACGTTGTAATAACGTTTTAGAAAATGTTTTTATAACATTTTGAAAACGTTTTGATAACGTTTTAATAACGTTGTTGTGCTACCTGGGGTGTCACAGCAGGTGTGGCACGATAAAATCCCTCCCTGCTCAAAGGCCCTGAGTGCCGAGCATAGGCCTAAATTTGCATGCAGCCCTTCACCGGCAATGGTGACGTCTCCATATCAGTGAAATATTCCGGAGAGGGACGTTAAACAATATTCAATCAATCAATCAATCTTAAAAAGTAATCAGTCTAAAGAATTTCTTGAATTTAAAATTTAAAAAATCATGTACAAGGAAAAAAATCATTTTATCAATTGGTAAGGTTTTAAAATAGAAAAAATATTCTGATGACTTATCTATCCTATTCTCGCATCATTTCTCCAGTACATCTTCCGAGGAAATTGTGTTTTATAGATAAGTTGCTGAGAGTTCCCGTCTGTTTTCATGTTCTTATCTGTCAGTCAAGATCAAGATTCTTGAGTAACATTATCATATACGCATATTACATTATTTTTTAACCTACGAAAATGAGCGCAATGGGCTTTCGTAGGGTCAAGCAATACAATCTATCATAAAAAAAAACCCCAAAAGATAACAATGAATTATATATACAATAGCCATATAGAAATTTATTAACGCGAAATTACGTGTCTGTGTAAAAGTAATGTTATATGAGACCCTTTGATTTTCAAAGAAGAAGGTACAGTTTAGGCTTTATTGTGCCCTAAAAATTTAATGAAAAACCTATTCCGGGGTGGGGCGAGTTGACTATACCAATTTCACATGCATTCGTGCTTCCTAAGAGGGGGGGGGGTATATGTATATCATCCATTCTCCATTCGTCAGGTGCCTGTGGAATACATAACTTTCGCGCTATGACACGAAAATATTGCGTAATAACGCGAAATTATTTGGGACCCTTTCATTTTCAAATTTGACTGTCGTATAAGAAACATGAAATCAGACAAGGACTTCTTCGAATTTATAAATGACATTTCCATATAAAGAAGATGTAAATGTAAACGATAAATAATTTTTGAGAGCTAGTCTTCAGAACTTTTTAGTACAGTATAAGTGGAAATTTTAGCGAGACGCAAATTTAGCGATTCTCCTTAAAAACTGGTATTTTATTTTTAGCGAGATTTAATTTTAGCGATTTTAAAATGTTCATTAAAGAACCTATTACAAATAAAAGGCAATAAATTTTTAGCGATATGTTATTTTAGCGATCTCATAAGCCTCGCTAATTGCCAAAATTAAATCCTCGCTAAAATTTCTACTTATGCGGTAATAAAATGTATTTCTTTATAGATTTTCTTGGTTTTTCACTTGTTGAATTTTTTTTCAGGAAGATCTCGCCACTGCCTTATTACTTTTTTCAAGCTTTTTTTTTTTTATCTTCATTAAAGTTTGAACTAATTGTTGATACTTTTGTGAGCAATGGTATGATCACATGACACAACCTCAAAATATGACATGTCTACAGTGAGTAGAAAAGAGACTTGTATAAAATTCCTTTTTCACATTAGGTCACCCATATGATGGGATGATGGGACACATGCAATTGACAATTTTACCTTATTGTCAGATTTTCTAACATCTTAATTTTATTTCAAATTCTGTAAATAAATAAATAAATTTCGTCGGAAGGAATGATCCCCCCCCCCCGAAATCCATAATTATAAAGTCACACTTTGGGAAAACTCGCATAAGCTAAGGATGGTTGGAACAACGTTGAGAATTAAGACAAAATGTGAAAGGGAGAAGGGGGTTATCCAAACTCAAAAAACGTTTTCGGTTCATGGAATTGCTAAATTCTTATACTTTATGTACAGCGATTTTCTATTTATTTACGCCCAGTTAATGGAATTAGGCTTATTTTCTAAGCACAGGTGAAATACAGACAGTTGCACAAAGACTGAAATGAAACTGAATATCTTGTAGGGAGAGGTCTGACCCTTTTTTTTTTTTTTGCACACATAACTTTTTACTATGGAAAATGTACATTGAAGGTGCCCCCTATTTTTTCTTGCAGTAAAGTCTATTAAGGGTTTTCTTCTAAAGTTTTAAACAAATTGGTACCGAAAGATTTTCATTACCTTTCATAAAAAGACCTTTCGTGAGTCTTCTTAGTTTTGGCATAGGCGTTGGGACCAGGGTTGTGGGGCCTATATAAAGGGTTATATCCCCTTCTATTGTTTTTGCAAAGATACACGTATACATATATAATATAGGCACGGAGGATTGGGGCTTACTTTCTTTTGGTTTAGCTCCCCCCTTTCAATTTGCTTCCGATGCCTATGCTTTGTCTTACCATCACAAGTCATCAGAATAATTTTGTCCTTCACCTTGTAAAAGTTTGGTCTCTCTTCCTCCAAAATTATTATACATGCATGCAGTTGCAATTGGTGTATCAATATATAAATGAAAATGATTCACTATTCTTGATTGCATATACTTGGCAATCTAACCATGATGGCCCAAAAATATCTATACAGTACAACCACATACACTTGTTTCTGAAATAAATGTGTTTTTATGCAATGGGTTAAAAGATAACAGAATCCAGTGCTTGTGAGTACAACTGGTACAAGGTCAGGCATCTTGTAAATTTGGCACCTAGTCAGCTCTGAATAAGAATCTGGTAAATTCAGAATCAGAATTTGGTGACAACTGTCCATCAGTGATTCATAAAGGCAAATAATATACATGCACTTTGATAAAACAGGGCCTATAACATCTCTGTGAAAGATACAGCGCTTGCCTTTGCATGAATTTCAAGGGATAAAATTTTATCTTTAACATAAACACCATTCATAGTACAAAATTAAACTTTATTTAAAAAATTGAAAAACAAAATGAATTGTGAGTATAAATCTGTTATCAAAAAATTTGACAATATATAAGCATTATGCGCAATATCCTGCATGATAAAATGACATGTATGTAAACAGTGCGTAGCAAAGAAATAGGAATGATGAACATTTTTTTGTTAAACATGAGCAATTCCATATTGGGACTTATAAAATTTGAGAGAAAACCTCATAAGATAATGCATATTTTTTTCAGATCCATATTTACAATAATATCTAAGATGTGTAATATGTGTAAGTTTAAATTATGGATTATGCTATCACAGTGCAATAAATGTCCAAACATATCAAACATATATATGGTCAATGACAAAAACATTTTTTTTTAAGTTTATAACACATATGCCTCATTGCATCCATTTAAATTTCTGTCCTATCACCTCAATGCATGATGACAAATTAAAAACAGGGCTAATTTAAAGAAAACAGCATTGTCTTTTACAATTTTGTTTGGGCACATTTAAAATGGTGCAAAATTGTTGTTTAATTTTAATTTTAAAGAGCAAAAATAACACAAAGTTATATAAAAATAACCAAATGTTGCAATATTATCAAACATTTTTTAAAATGTTACAAATTTTATCCTTGTAATTTATCAATCAACAAAAATATACAATTTCAAGGACACAGATTTTCTTGCTTTGCATAACAAACTATTTTGCGATGAACCAGATTTCGTTATGTCTGTTGAAGATTTGGAACGGACTGTTATAGCCAGCAGTGAAGAAGAATTCCGTGTGGAATTTACCAGCCTCTTTAGCACTGATCGCCTCCTCAAGTTTCTTGGCTTCTTCCAACCATGTATTAATGCTAATCACATAACCAGAAAAGGACCTGTGATGAAAAAAAATACTTATCATGTAATGTGAAGATAAATTAAAGTTATTGTGCCCCAAAGTTCACCTAAATAATAACAAGAGGCCCATGGGCCTTATAGGTCACCTGAGCATCATGCAACAACTTTCAAATGATTGAATTTGGTTCATGTTTTAAGCTAGATGCTATGGCATTCACAATTCTGAAAGAGGCACCATTGCTAATCATAATTATACACTTAGCAATTGTTTAGTTTGTTTACTTAATATGGATAAGCAGGGTAGGGGAACAAAAAAGTATGACAACTAATCAGTAATATTCAGCAATAATCAGGAGTGCTCCTACCACACATGATCCCCTGACCCTAGGTCTACACATTGCACAATTTTTGAAAAGGCACACTAGCTTATCAAAAATGTTTAATTAATACCAAGGAGCAGATTTCAAACAATTCATTTTCAGTATATAAGTAGAGCACCCCCTCCCCATTTTGGTATCTCTGACCCAGGGGCCTTGAAATTCACAATTCTGGAAGAAGAGCCCATCCCATCATAACTATGTTAATAGTTCATTCTGCTTATTACCCAGGAGTAGAGAAAAAGATTTTCATAGATGTAATGTATTTTCACCATATAATCATTATAGAGCCACATCCTTACACCATAACACCTGACCCTGGGGCCATAAAATTCACAATTTTGGTAGAAGCATTCTTGCTCATCATAACTATGTCCTTAATTAGATTATTTAATACTCAGAAGAAGAGAAGAAGATTTTCAAAGATTTAATGCATTTTCACTATATAATCAATTGAGCCCCGTCCTAACACCAGAACCCCTGACCCTGGGGCCCTGAATTTCACAATTTTGGTAGAGGCACTCTTGCTCATCATAACTATGTACTTACTTAGTTTATTTAATACCTAGTAGCAGAGAAGAAAAATTTTCAAAGAATTAATGCATTTTCACTATATAATCAATAGAGCCCTGCCCTAACACCATAACCCCTGACCCTGGGGCCATGAATTTCACAATTTTGGTAGAGGCACTCTTGCTCATCATAACTATGAACTTAATTAGTTTATTTAATACTCAGGAACAGAGAAGAAGATTTTCAAAGAAATAATGCATTTTCACTATATAATCAATAGAGACCGCCTTAACACCATAACCCCCGACCCTGGGGCCATAAAATTCACAATTTTCGTAGAGGCACTCTTGCTCATCATAACTATGAACTTAATTAGTTTATTTAATACCCAGGAGCAGAGAAGAAGATTTTCAAAGAATTCATGCATTTTCACTATATAATCAATAGAGCCCCACCTAACACCAGAACCCCTGACCCTGGGGCCATGAATTTCACAATTTTGGTAGAGGACTCAATGCTGATTACAATCATACCAACAGTTTGATTGCTTAATGTCTGGGAGTAAAGAAGAAGATTTTTAAAGATTGCACTAATTTTAGTGGTTTTTGCCCCACCCCCCATGTCCCAGGGGGGCAGGGACCACGAAATTCACAATTTTTGTTCCCCTTCACCCATAGATGCTATATGCCAAAATTGGTTGAAATTGGTTCAATGGTTTCAGAGAAAAAGCTGAAAATGTTTTAAATGTTAACGCACGACGCACAACGCACGACGGACAAAAACAGAGAGCAATAGGTCACCTGAGTAAACTCAGGTGACCTAAAAATGGACCTTTGGCAACATGTGTTATAGAGGACTTGTGCTGATCACACCTGTCATGTGCCTGTTGTCAAGACTGGGTACCGGTAAATTGGGGAAAAAAATCTTAGAAAATTCAATGTGGGAAAAATGGTCTAGAAGTATGAATTCATAGATATCATTTGCTGACTGTGTTTATAAATAAAAAGCAATTGAATCAACCATAGATTTTGGGAAACCTTGACTTTAAATGAGATTACTGATATCATCATATCATCAACTTTTTTTGTCAATATGCTAGTTTCCTTATATGTATAAATTTAGTATCTGACACTCTCGTTCAAATGGATTTTAAATCAAATGCATATACTTCACAATGTCACACATTGTTTATAAAATATTCATGAATTACACGATTGCATGTACTTCAATAACTTCTCTAATATTTGCACTTCGTGTTCACATTTTAAAATAATTCTAAATTAATTGTTATAAAATTGACAATTTTTCATTGGAAGTGCATATAAAATATGTACATGTATCAAATATATACCTATTATTTAGCTCTTACCTCACATAAACTTTCATCTGTGGCATTTTTTGAGGGAAAACCCCTTTTTCTGTGGGAGCAGGGGGATTTGCGACTTTAGGAGACATAAAGAATGACATGGTGAAATTATTCTCGCAGGCAGGACCAGGGCCCGGCTGAACCATGATCAAAACCGGGGCTGTCATCGCTATCTTTTCAGCTGTAAAAAATAATAAAGATTTAAAAAGAGTCAATTTTTAAAAAAACATTGATCTTTGGGATCACAAACACCATTGTATTAAGAATGTTTCCTCAATTTCGAAAATCAATCGTCATGGGTTGATTTCAAATTGACAAATCTTGAATAAAAGATAACATAAAAAATAGTTGGTTTACAAATTTGATGCATGCCTTTTTCATTTGTGCCATTTATGTAACGGAACAGTCTCCTGAAGTTTGTGTACGATGCCTCTTTATAGTCAATCCCTGCCGTGTTAGAAGACATCCAGCCTGAAGATTCGTACAAACGTAACTCATAATCCTGTAATAAGACAAGAATGTTAAATTCTTAAAATCGTCGAAAAGTAGGTCAAATCTCAAGGTCAAGGTAAAATAACATTTGATATATTGAAATGTCTTGCCATAGGTAATGTACAGGTGAAATATGAAAGCTCTACTTCTTCTCTTTTAAAACTAAAAGTTATGACCAAGGTGTACTTTTAGTCTATTTAGTGTGTTTCGTGACAGGAGGACAGACTAACAGACAAACAGACAAATGGGATTCATGTCCCCTTGCTTTCGCAAATTGGTAGACAAAAATTAAATGAAATATATTTCTAATAAATGACTATATGCATGCAATATCTAACCTTGTTTTTTTCCAGTACTTGATACTTTGGACAGTCTAACTTGTTGCAGAAATCCGGGGGCCACGTTAGGCGTGGGATGAATTTCAGAACCTCTCCTAGGGTAGTAGAAATGCAAAGGAAAAACAATACAAGTTCAAAGCGCAACATGTTCAAGGTGTCGTTCTTCAACTTTTTGTTCCTTTTCAACTTTCTTGCATAACAAGCAAGTTTTTGAGAAGTTGCGAAACATGTGTTACGAATCCCGAACCCGATTTATTTTGATAAAAAAAGCATGAAGACAATGTTTTGAACTTTTCTATCCAAAAATACTTAGTTTTTATGGTCTCTAGAACAATCAAAAATGACAAAGACTTGTAATTCTTTATTCAAAATGCAATTAATTAATGATTTTTCAATTATAACTAATTTCAATTTATAACTAGAAAAAGATCGAGTTCGATATCCTTAGTCTATCACGTTGACAAGCACGTTTTGCTTGAAACTGGAGGCTCAAGGGCCTTGATGCTCACCTGAATTTTATTGACTACGACATTCTGAAGTATAAATAAAACATTCAAAAAGTTTTAATGATGTTGTCTAAGCAAGAGAAATGGAAAGAGCGGTATTCGCGGATCAAAAAATCGGTAAGTCGTACTCTACACTGCAGTCATATCATATTTAATTTAAACCAATGAATGTATAAAAGCCATATTATAATCTCCATGGCAGATGAATCAGTGAGTTGCAAAACATTTAAGGTTATCATCAAGTCTACACTCTGTGGGTTCCCAGAAGAAACTGAATTACAATTGATAAGTACAGTTGACACAACTCAAGTAGGAATTTCGGGATCGCGAGCTTGATCAATATTTTTTTTACACCCCCCCCCCCCCTCATATTATTAAAAAAAGTTTTTACCTATATTATTATAAATATTGATAACTAAAACTGTAAAAAAAAAAAAAAAAAAAGAAATACACTTAAATGTTTAAAATGAATTTTACTTGATACTAAATAACGACATTTCGACTGTGTATTATCAGCATCAGTGTTCCCTAATCTATGTTACAACATCCTTTAAAAAAAAACGAACAATTTCAAAAGTAATTAAATCATCTAGTAAAAAAACCATTGCCCAGATTTGCAACATTTATTCCACTGGATCGAAAAAATATTATTTCTTAAATTTTAATCATATTCAGATATATACAGCATGAATTTATAGTATATTTACCTTTTCAATGAATTCTTCAGTGTTCTCGTTGATATTAATAACCTTTCCTCTTCAATTCTTTAAACAAAGTTGTCTAATGTTTCATCTCTGCATGTTCTGTTTTAATTCTTGTAACTGTCGTCGGATGATGTGTGGCGATCTGTCTTGTCCAACCTCTCCTTCATTTTTTAGCTTACGATATTATGATCTTTTTGCACATCCTCTGGTCTAGAACTCCGGTCCATGAAGCCTTCTCTTTTAACTGTTTAAATTCCATTTCCATCAATCGTCTAAGTTTTCCTTTTCATTTCACGTGTATTTCTTTGCAATATGCATGATATGGTTAATAACTGTCGGATATTTACATGTAAATTTTAAATTCCGACGCTACCTATGTTCTATTTTTACATAATATTTTACTAAAATTTTCCAGTATCAAGTTGACTTACTAACTTAAAGCAACAAAAAGGTAATCTTTATTAAAATTATTGCACAAATTTGCAATAGATCAATTTATAATTCTAAAATAAGGCTCATTCTCAAGTCTAATGTCTGATTTTACAATTTTCTTACAGGGGTCTGATAGGCCATATATCAGACAATGTGGGCAAAAAATGTGCGGTTGAATTTCTTTCATATCATACATAAAGAAAGATTTTGTATCCTAGAACAAAATATCAAAGTTTCAGGAAAATTGAATTGGAGGAAAAATTTGGCCTATCTATTGTGTCCTACCTTAAATGTTGCAAATCTTCAATAAAAAATTTTAACAAAAGGCCCAAGGGCCTTAACGGCCACCCGAGTACGAGTATAATACAGCAATTTAGAGGATCCATAGATTATAGATTAATTAAACTAATACTACCTGTATAGTTGAAACTTTGTTGCCCAAAAGCAAGAGAAATAGGGTGTTCAGGATCGATGAAATAATTAGTCTAGTATTCAGTAACAACTCATGTATTAAAATCTAATCTATGCCCCGTTTAGCACCGTCACCATGTAGACCATTAGCAAACAATTAGTTCTTCCGTATAACTTTTAACTCCATATTGTGACCTCTTACAATGGCCTCTCTTGGACTCTGAAGAACATTTGATAAATTATTTTGTCTCATTCTTATTCATTTATAAATAAAACGTCTGCCTGATCATTAAAAACGATGATTTTCCCCATTATTCAGGACACCCCCCCTTCAAATTTTTTCAGAAGGAAGACAGTACTGTTGGGACAGAGAATGAACTAAGTGCAAGTACTTTTTGAATGTATTAACAATATTTTTTGCACGAGTCTTTGGCTTGAGAGATACTTATTAAAAGTTCTGATTTCAAATTATTTTGTCAGTAATTTTTTACGGCCTGTGTATCTTTCCGGAAGATCTATCGGCCTAGGTTCGCATATTATATTGTAACTTCTGTTTCCGGAAAAAAAATGCTGAAAGAAGTACGGAGGGAAAAAAAGTGTTGAAAACTAAACTTGGGACTTTTTAGACGTAATTTTTATGAAAATTTCTTCAAATTTTCTTGCTGAAGTAATTTTGAGTAAGAATTTGTCTAATATCTTGTCTAAAAAACGAAAATAGTTTCTTTAGCATATGGTATTTTTATCGGCTGTTTTGAAGTCCTTTGATTCAGAATCGTACACAGTGTAGATCTACATGTGTAAAAAGGAATTAAGATTAAGAACAAATAAGAGATGGATACTGAATGTCATAGGTTTTCCTTACATACTGTATACTTTTGAAAATGTGGCACACACAGTCAGTTCACAAGCTGGAGTTGGATAATCTCAGCGAGATGTAGTAGAGACTAAAATGTTTAGTCAGACGTTCACTACGTCGTAGTGGACGTCCGGCCAAATATTTTAGTCCCAACGACATCTCGCTGAGATTAGAGTTGGACAGTTGAGAATGAGACCACTCTCAAAATTGGATATAATATGCCCGTTTGAAATTGGGATATAATATCCCAGATGCACAATTTTTATTTTGGCTGTGGATGTTATAAATCTGCATCAAGAATCTTAGAAAGGTAAAAATTTGGGGGAACGACTTCACTGTACCGGTCCCCAGAAAAAACGCGCTTAAATGTAGTGTTGCCAAAGGTGACTTTAGTATATATGAGATCGCGGGATTAGCACATACCATTTCATGGTTGTATTTGACTTTTCTACTTTACGAGTATAGAGTTATGATGCTGTTTAAGTAGATACTATATTTCATAATTGGTCTATAATTTTAGGAGGTTTAGGACAGAATGGCCTACAACTTTTCTGGTAAATATGTCAGTGTCCCATAGTTACTTATTTGGATCCGAAACCCTGAATAGGTGATAAACAGTTTGCCTGTACATTTCCTCTGAAAGTGTATAGGAGTGCATTTCTGAGGGAGGGAGTACTCTAACCTACTCTAATTTTAAGTAAAAAAATAAGTTAGATACCTGGTGTTATTATTATACTATGGGTCAAAAATTTATTACAGAACAAGTGCCTTTGGAATTAATCACAAATCATTTGGAGGTTCTTTAACTTCTTGCGGATTGATATTGTAATAATTACAAACTGTAGGGTTTCTCATTATAGTTTTTCTTGCTTCAAATTTACACTGTATGTTAACATTTGGAACTGTTTGTAATCATGGTAATTATGCACTGAGTTTGAGTTATTTCATCTGTTTATTTTGCTATATTGCTAATGCACAGAACTTTATGTTGTTAAACCGGTCCTAAAATCATTTTAATGAAAGAAAGTTTCTTACTAGGCATACATAAGCTATTCAAAATGGTATGTTGAATGTTTTGATGATGTACGTGTAGTGTTGCATGATTATGTCATTTATGGCAAAATGACAGAAAGTAGCTAATGCAATCATTTAACAAAGTTTAACATAGGAATAAAAGGGGAAAATCTTTAATTCTTCTTCTCAAGAACAGCAAAGCCATGATTGGTCATAGTTATATGGAAGCATCATTATGTGGTGTAGATTCAAGTTTGTTCAAATCATGATCCCACTTGAACCCTCTTTGATATTTAAATTTTTCAATACTGAACTGATTTTTGCTTTTAGTTTTACATAGCCAGAGCTCAGGTGAACGATGTGGCCCCTGGGCCTCTTGTTTATTTTTTATAAGGATGTAAACATGGGTTGGTCATGTTAAACTTGCTTTTACACAGAATTAAAAATGCACTGATAAGACAGTTATATAGGGGGAAACAGAATTGTCAAAATTTTAAAATTTCTATCAATTTTTTTTTCAGATTTTCATTCTAGTAAGATATCAGCTCAGAAATCTTTTTTGGCAGTGTCCATGTCTTGATAAAAACATGTATGAATGTCTTTTGATCCCACAGATTTTCTTACCTGGGGGATGGGGAAGCTGGGAGGGAGGTTCGGTATCCCCTTTCCCTTGCAAGCTCACCCTGTAGCAAAAAGTTTGCCTGATACAAACAAGATTGAATTTTAGATATATCTTAGTTAAATGTAAGGATAAAATAGCTTTTCTCCAATATTCTGTTTTTTGTAAAAGATGTAAGTGAGATGCTTCTCTTTCTAGGACCTTTGCATTCACACCTGACCCAATGCTGTAGTCCGTTTTAAAGATCCACTCTTGTTAGCTGCCAGAAAGATGGACATTGCAGACAACTATTTAGGACAGATCACACACGTGATTGATCCTGATAATTTCAGCATGCAGATCGGTACAGGTGAGTAGATTTTTTGTCATGATGCAACTAATTTTCTCTGTCAGATTATTGAACAGTAAGATAAAAGATGAATTCTGGATTCTGAATTTAGAAGTACTTTGAATTTTAAGCCCATAATCATGATAATGGTATTATACCTATATCACATGTCTTCGAGGGTGACATACCAGAATATTTGCCCCACAGTGACAGGGAAGCCCTGGAGTGTTATGTCACCCGATGCCGAAGGCAGAGGGTGACATAACACTCCAGGGCTTTTCTGTCATCGAGGGGCAAATATTCTGGTATAGTCCCCGGAGAAGCCATGTGGTAAATGTTATATATAACATTTTCAAAATAAAAAAAAAATTAAAATCATTTAAAATCATTAAAATTTACACAAATAATCCAAAAATGCTTTCTTGACGTTAAGAATAATGCTCTGTTGTTTTCTTTTGCTAAGCAACCTACATCATAAAATCTCGAACCCAAACTGAAATACCGGGGGTATGTAACCTAAAAACACGTGAACGTGATCGAGAAGGTGACATAACTGCTTCCATCAGGGGGACATAACTGTTTCCGGGGTGTGACATAACTGTTTCCGGTGTGACTCAGTATTTTTCAGGGTTTAGGCCATACCAATTTCTAATATAGTTCGTCGGATTCGCCGCTTCTATTTTTAACAAATCCAAATTATAATATTTAAAAAAATAAATTTCGCGCGCGCGTCCGAAAATATCCGACTAAATATTTTTTTCTTGACTTTTTACACAAAACGCATAAAAGACTTGGAAATTTGTATGACAGAAGCGCGGGATCTGTTTAGTTTGTTTGTACTTTGTAACAGTCTGTAAAGTTTTGCAAGACGCCCGTGTAACTGTGTATATGTACCAGGGGTGAGCAATTAGCATATCCAAACAACCGGGGCTACCATTTTTTGGGATCGGGCTAGTTGTTTTCTGCAAGGAGGTAGCCCGTCGGGCTAGTAAAAAACATAACTACACAAGCAATGCAACAATGATAAGAACAATCGGTATTCACTTGTATTTGTTATAAAATTCCCGACCAGTTAAAATTTTCCAGACAACATGCTCCTATTGTCAATAAATCTCCATAATCTTATCTGTTTTGTACTTCTATCTTACTTAATTACTTCCAAAAACGATCGTTTTTTCCTTGATAGTGAGAACTTTTAACTTTAATTTTAAAAAGAATGACCCCAGTAGCCTGACTTTTTCAGCAATTAATTTCTTCTCCAGATTAGTATTTATTTTAATTTTTGCCCCTCTGTTTGGGTTATAAACTTTTTTACTAGGGGCTATTTACTTGAAAACTGCCACTAGCCTGTGGGAGAGTACTTGATTTTTTCCTCAATTGCACAACCCTGTGTACTATAGAAGAACTTAGAAAATTTTGCCACTAATATTTATTATATTCGCTCGCCTCATAATTTTGAAAACTGAAATAAAAAAAATAATATTTGTAAAATAAATTCGCTCGCTCGCCTCTCTTTTTCTTTTTGAAAATCCGAAGAACTATATTACAAATTGATGTGGCCTTATAGTGATTTATTACATTTGTGACATAATAGAAAAACTTATCTAAAAATGTTTTAAATGTTATTATTCACTTTTTGCTCAATATATATATTTGTATTATCACAATTCTATGACATTTATATGCTAAAATAAATGAAGGATAGAAGCATTTTTTGAATGCAGTGTGTAAATTCTTCAATGAAATGTGAAGCAGATCATGAGCCTTCTGTTAACTAAACCACTTTAAATATTCAGTTCTCTTAGTGATAATCGAGTTAAGAAGGGGATTCACTTTTGATTTTGTTCGCTCAATGATTTTTACATGGGGAATAATTAACCAAGTACATGCATCACCTTTGTTAGATGAGTGTCTGGCAGAATTTATACAGTTTGAGATGAGATTAGAAGACTTTGGTCAGACGTGTGACCGGGTGAGTGACCTTTCTGCACTGGAGATAGGACATATTGTTCTCGTGGAGTGTGTGGAAACTAAGGAGGGATGGAGAAGGGGACAAGTGGCCAACGTTAACAGGTAAATTCCAAGATTACAAAGAAGAACGCCTATTATATACATGTTACCGTTTTGTTTTAAATTTTGTACATATGTCTGTGTAACTTCAAGGAAAAGGGGCAGTACTCAAGGTCCTTATTATTCTGGATCGAAAGATCCCAGGGTGACTGTCTGTCTGTTGTCTAGCTGTTTGTCCGTCTGTTGTCATCTTTAATCTAGCCCATAACTATTTCACTGTTAAGGGTTGAGTAAAACACTTCAGTCTACGTCCCACTCCAGAATTGTGTTACCATTGGGGGCATAGTTTTAATTTTAAAGATACTGTATATGGCAGATCTGCATCTCTTTTATCTTTTTTGGGGACAAAACATATAATGATTTAGGCTTAGGCCTAAAAAAAAAATATGTTTGTTTCCTGTAACCCGACCAACCCATTCAAATTACCCCCGGGTGGATTTTTATGTTTATATTTTTATATTTTTTATTTTTATATTGTTTTTGTCTTGTCTGTTTGTCTGTTTTTCTGTTTATCTGTTTGTCTGTTTGTCTTTCTGTCTGTTGTCAACTTTAACCTTCGCCATAACTTTTGAACAATAAGAGATAGAGACTTCATATTTGGTATGCATACTCCACTAATAGAGTCCTTTCAAATGACATCAAGGTCAATGACCTTGTGACCTTGACTGTGACCTATATGCTAAAAATAGCTTTTTCCACTGTTTGTCATAACTTTTGAACCATAGGAGATAGGGACTTCATATTTGGTATGCATACTCCACTGATAAAGTCCTTTCAAACGACGGCAAGGTCAATGACCTTTTGACCTTGACTGTGACCTATATGCTAAAAATAGCTTTTTCCACTGTTTGTCATAACTTTTGAACCATAGGAGATAGGGACTTCATATTTGGTATGCATACTCCACCGATAAAGTCCTTTCAAACGACGGCAAGGTCAATGACCTTTTGACCTTGACTGTGACCTATATGCTAAAAATAGCTTTTTCCACTGTTTGTCATAACTTTTGAACCATAGGAGATAGGGACTTCATATTTGGTATGCTTACTCCACCGATAAAGTCCTTTCAAATGACGGCAAGGTCAATGATCTTGTGACCTTGACTGTGACCTATATGCTAAAAATAGCTCTTTACACTTTTTGCCATAACTTTTGAACCATAGGAGATAGGGACTTCATATTTAGTATGCGTACTCCACCGATTAAGTTCTTTCAAATGACACCATGGTCAATGACCTTGTGACCTTGACTGTGATCAATATGCTAAAAATAGATTTTTTGAACTTTGTTGCCGCCGGGCGCATAGTGTTTCACAAACACATCTTGTTTTTTTCTGACAAACAGCAAAACTTCGTTTGATCAATCAGCTGATTCCATTTATTAAAAAAAAAAATTAGCTTGTAGCTTAACTTGAGACATAAAATATGTCAACGTAATTTACATTCACCTTAGTTTTAAAGAGTAATCATTATTGTAACAACAATTTCCCCTTACAATTTTCTGAAGTTCGTTTTCTGCCGCTTGGCATCCATTTTGGATGCCATGTTGGGTGTCCACTGTAAATATGACACCTGGTATATTCAGTCCGGGGATGTTTGACCATTCATAAGCATAAAAAAAAAAAAAAAGAATTCCCGACCTACCGACCCTGAATTTTTTGGGAATGTTACAGGAAACGATATATTTTTTTTTTAGGCCTTATGTCTACTGAACATTAAATTGTTGCTAAGGGATAATTTCCTTTGGTTGTCTTTGAAGTTTTGCAGTAAAAACTAATAGATTCATTTTTCTCTTAAAAACAGATATCATCAAAATTGGATGTTTTTGCAAAATTTTTCTCCAGAAATTTTATTTTTGTTGTTCTTGCAGCTGAGATTTTTGCCTGTAATATTGGTAAAGGTCCTTGAAAATCTCTCAAAATAAATAAACATCATGTAGAAAATATCATCAATCCATAGTCTCTCAATTCCTAAAAGGTTAAACTTGAACCAGTTAGCATTTCATGAACTTGTTAATTTCGTTATTTTGATTGTATATTGTTTATAACAGTGAGGAATCCGGTGTGGATGTTGTTTACATTGACTACGGACACTCGGAGCACGTGGACAAGTCGAGGCTGTGTACGGATTTCCCTGAAGAGTTCGCTCAATATCCGGTGATGGCTCTCAAATGTCAACTGGCAGGAATCAAACCAGTAAGAACTATCAATGTAGTTAATGTAATTATCAAATGTAGTCATCAGGTTGTGACCTTCAGGGTTAGTAATTTATTAAATATCGACTTTTTATTTGTAAACAAGAAAATACTGTTTACAGGGAAATGTTCGCCCCTGTTTTATTTTTGCCCTTTTACACTTGTCTAAATTGGGCGAATTTAATTCGGGGCAAATTCAATTAACACAGGATGAATTTTTAAACAGAACTGTGACTGGGCAAATTTAAAACATGGCAAAATTGTTAGCAAGTGTAAAAGCAGGGTTCGACACTAACATTTTTAGGCGTTGGTCCGGCCGAACTTGTGCTTCTTTACTTTTACTAGTCCGCGGGCAATTTTATGAGTCCGTCAAAAATATGAATAAATAAATAGAATTAACATTGCAATGTACTTTTTATAGTATTTACATGAAATGTTTTATACCAAAATTAGTTAAAATCGCGGGATCAGGAACTACACTCATATTCCCGATCTCATTCGTTATTCTCTATAAATGATTACATAATCCAAATGTCCGACATTTTTTTTATGTGTCACACTAAATCATGATCGTTAAAATGTTTAATTTCATACTAATGAGTCCTAAAATTAAGCGCCGAATTGACTCAGAGTTACATAACTTCCCGTCAAGAAGCTAGAAAGCTAAAAATACATACAGGGTTTTCCATTGAAAGTTGTCGGACTAATTAGCCACAAATTTTATTATTCCGAATGAAAATGTATTAGTCTGAGACTAACAGACTAACGTTAATGTCGAACCCTGAAAAGGGTGAAAATCCTTATTTTGTTTATAGACTTTACAAGTAATAAATTGTACAAATTTTAATGAAATTTGAGTAAAGGTCAGTTTAATAAGACCAAAAATTAAATCCTGTTGGGAAATTCAGACAGAGCTTCTTGTCTGGTCATATTAGTGTTGAATATACATGTAGGTATTGCTTTTGATCTCATTTACCTTTTGCCCTTCTCTTTTTCTAATAATAAAAAAAAAAACTCCAAACAAACCAACAAAAACCAAATTCAATGATTTATACTTTTATTAAATTCTTTTCTTGAAATTATTTGTCTATTTTTATCAGATTTATTTACTATTCTCCTGTAGATTGCCAGAACATGGACAACAAAAGCTGTCAAGATGTTCACTGAGATTACACAGGGCCAAGTCTTCATTACTTTCTTCCTGCCCTCTACTCACATGTTTAAATCCATGGTGGCGCTCTACTTTCAACAAGGGGGAGACAACCCAGACTGGGCAGGGCGTTCCCTGTCTCATGTTCTTATGGACCAAGAACTTGGCATTGTAAGTTGCTGGCTTCTAATTAGGAAACTAATAAAAGTGGAATTAGTACTGTTGATGAGTACATGGAAATTTTTGCCCCCATTTATATTTTCATCCCTTTCGCCCTACTCTCGTTTTGGTGAATTTAAAACAGGATGAATTCAAAGAATGCAGTATAGTTATTTTCTTAAATAAGACTGTGATTGGATGAATTTAAAATGAGGCACTATTGTTTGCAAGTGTGAAAGGGCAAAAACAAACACGGTGCAAATGTAACCCTGTTTACAGTGCTCTTGATATTTACAAACGACTCAATCTGGCAAATACTCTGTCATCATGAGATTAATCTCAAAAAAGCTCAACTATAAATGTTTTTTGATGCAGTTAGAATATTTGGGGGGAAAAAATTAGCACAAATAATAAGTTTATTGACAGATTTACATGTATGAATTATGGAGACATATGAAGGATTGAAGAAGATTGTATTTATATTGTTCATGTTGGTGTTTTTTGGTGAATGGTTTTGATGAGATACGAAGTTAATTTCACAAAATAATCATGATAATGTAATATTTTTCAAGAAATCATTGGTTTTGAAAATATGAGTGTGACTTTTTCCCTGTCAGGTATCAGAAAACGAAGTGACAGAATATTTGGAGAATGCTGCAGATTTTTGTAAAGAAAAATTACAGCTAGCCGCTGCATTTCCAGAATCCATTGAATGTAAGGCAGGCATTTTAAAAGGGTAACATTGACATGGAGAAAATTTAAGGTCACACTTGCATTACATCATTTGAAGAAATTGAACTAAATATTATAGTATAATTTCTTTTGACAGTCTCTGTAAAAATAATTCATCTGAATAAAAGACATCAGATTTTGATGCATTTATAAGGTGATAGATGTAGTGACATGTAGTATTTTGATTTCGTAGTAATGCGATATTCTCCTCCAATAGTAATATTGTGATAAGTACTAAGCAATATCAAGTGTATTGCCTTTTAAATCTAAGTTGTAGTGGTAATAGAAATGAAAATACCAATGATTCTTTAAGATTTTGAGTGTATACTATTTTGAAATTTCAAGCCCATGTCGTGTTCATACTCTAATATAATATCTGTGAAATCTCTGTTAAGTAAATTAATTTACCAACACTCAAAGTTACTGATATTTTGAAATTATCTTTACAGCAAATGAGAATGGAGAAGTGTCTGCTTCAGATTTTATCTCAAGAATGGGGTATGTATACTTGACACTTTAAAGTGAATGTTGTCTTTCTGTTTGATAGTATGTTTATTATTAAAGAAATTTAAAGAAAAAAAAAGAGTAATATGAATTAAATGATTTTTAGCTCACCTGAGCAGAAGGCTTTTCTGATCACATTTTGTCTGTCCGTCTGTAGTTGTCTGTCTAGCTGTCCGTTCGTCTGTAAACTTTTCACATTTTCGATTTCTTCTCAAGAACTTCTAAACTGAACTTGGTTCAAAGCATCCTTGGGTGAAGGGTAATTTAAATTGTTAAAATGAAGGGCCAAGTCCTCTCACAAGGGCAGATAATTAAGAACAGACCACTGGGCCAGAAAAGTTGAAACTTATGTGGAAGCATCCTGGGGTAGTGTAATTGTTCAAATCATGACCCTGGGGGGTTTGCGGGGCCACACAAGGGAATGAAAGCTACTCAGGTGAGCTATGTAGCCCATGGGCCTCTTGTTTTACATTATTGTTCACTTTCTCATTACAGTATTGATGATGCATAATGCAAATTTTTCTAAGTGTTGTAGATATTTTTCATGTGAAAAGACCGGGGTCAGTGTCATTATAATCTGAAAGACCTACACATATGGCCGTGCTGTATACAGCAAAACTCGTTTAGTACGAACTCGGTATAGCAAAGTTATTTTAGATCCCCAGCTATATAAATTTAACAAATTCCTTATATGAATATACATGTAACAAATAACGGATATAGCGAAGTAATTATACCCCCGCTCCGAAGGAGAGGGGGGTATATTGTTTTACCCTTGTGTGTCTGTCCGTCCGTCTGTCTGTCCAACCGTCTGTCTGTCCATCCGTAACAAATTTTCGTTGCAGTTTTCTCAGCAACTACTCATTGCAAAAGCTTGAAATTTGAACACAATCTTCTCTGAGGCATGCCATATTTTGGGATACATTTTTGTTCAAATCTGATGTCAACTTCCTGTTTGTCTGTGCGTCTGTCCGTTTAATACATAACAAATTTTCGTCGCAGTTTTCTCAGCAACTACTCATCACAGATGCTTGAAATTTTAATACAATTTTCTCTGAGTCATGCCATACGTTGGGATAAATTTTTGTTCAAATCTGATGTCAACTTCCTGTTTGTCTGTGCATCTGTTTGTTTCATACATAACAAATTTTCGTCACAGTTTTCTCAGCAACTACTCATCACAGATGCTTGAAATTTAATACAATTTTCTCTGAGTCATGCCATATGTTGGGATACATTTTTGTTCAAATAGGATGTCAAGTTCCTGTTTGTCTGTCTGTCTGTCTGTTCGTTTCATACATAAAAAATTTTCGTCGCAATTTTCTCAGCAACTTCTCATCACAGATGCTTGAAATTTTAATACAATCTTCTCCGAGTCATGCTATACGTTGGGATACTTTTTTGTTCAAATCAAACAACTTCCTCTTTGTCTGTGTGTCTGTCCATTTCATACATTACAAATTTTCGTCTCAGTTTTCTCAGCAACTACTCATCGCAGATGCTTGAAATTTTAGTACACTCTTTGTTAAGACATGTTATATAGTGGGATTCATTTTGATGTTAATCTGATGTCATCTTCATATTTTTCTGTGCATTTGCCTGTAATTGAGCTTGTATATATATTAAAATGGTAGTGTTTATTCACATCAGAGCGGGGGTATTACTAGTGAGCATTGGCTCACAGATTTCTTGTTTTATTGGTCCCTGTGACTTCGTTATAACCGAGTTTTACTGTATAGGACTTATGACTGTGTTAAATTTACATGTAACCATATATAAATATTATTAGACATAGTTTTAATGGTATTCTTGGTTCTATTTTTATCAGCAATGAAGATGAGAGTGAGGAGCGTGAGGATTTCCTGCCAGAGTCTGAGGAATCCCCTGATAACGATCCCTCAGGAGAAAATACCCAGGAATCTCCACAGGAAACTAATGAACCCTCCACTGATGAGGGTACCTCAGAATACAGCTCCTCACCGGAGGGACCTTTGGATCATTCACCTCACATAGGGACACGAAATGGGCAGAATAAAATCATCATCTCAGACTTCGATTTTGATCGAATACACCACACGAAAGATATCTGCACGAACCGTTTAGAAGAGAGGACAGCCCAACAAATGCGTCAGGTGCTAGAGGAAGAGAATGAGAAGATACTGGAGGATGTGAAGGAATGTAAAAGTCTGGCTGTGGAGGCGGGGTATGGTGAGTACTGGGAAATCACTATCTATAGGGGGGATGGGGACGGGCCTAATTTCATTGTTTTCGAGACATGGAGAGACCCATGAATTTATGACCACCTGGAAATGTAAAATTTAATATATATTACTACTTATCATTCTCCAACAACAAAATCATGTCCCCACACCAATTTTTTATTTCAAACTGTGAAAATTATTCCCATGAAAATGTGTGATTTTACAGTATTTTGTGTGAAGAAAATATTAAATGTTAGAAGCTGCTTTATAGAAATTTTCAGATTCAGAGAAAAATTCTATATACCTATAAGAGATATAAAGAATCATTCACCTTGTAAAACTTTGTATCCCCTCTTGCTAAGTGATATTTCTTTGTTAAAATAAATTCATTTTTCTGTCATTATGATTATGATGATTTATATCTTCCAAAAAATTACACAGTGTTGTAAATTTGAAAACAGAATTCCTTTATTATTTTCAGGTGTAGCAGAACAGTTTGAAGATAGTTTGCCCCCAAGGTTTTCTCAAACAGGTAATTTACACTGTACATGTCTAATTTTGTTTTTTATGACTCGCTGAAGTTTCTTTGATCATCAAAAAAGAAAGATAAAACTTTTTTTAGCAGAAATCTGTCAAATTTTATCAATTCAAGAGTCAATTCACCATTAACATTCTTCTTAAAAAATAAAAAAGAAAAAGAAAAAATTCTTATCCATAACTAGCAGGGGGCCCTGCAGTACCCTTGATCCCCCTTGGAGTTGGCACCTCAGGACTGGAAAGACCTTCCAATCAGAATGTCATTGATGACCGCATACCTAGTAAGCGTTACTCACGGACACGCAGAGAGGCCAGGCCAGGGGTAGAAGAGAGGTTGGACTTGGGGCCCATGAGGGGTAGAGGAAGAGCTAGAGCAGCTCCACAACCATCAAGTAGCAGTCCTGCGATTGGTTCAAGTAGCAGCCCTGTGATTGGTTCACGTAGCAGTCCTGTAATTGGTTCACATAGCAGCCCTGTGATTGGTTCACGAAGCAGTCCTCTGATTGGTTCATGTGACAGCCCTGTGACTGGTTTAAGTAGTAGCTCTGTGATTGGTTCACGTAGCAGTCCTCTGGTTGGTTCATGTGACAGCCCTGTGACTGGTTTAAGTAGCAGATCTGTGATTGGTTCACGAAGCAGTCCTGTAGTTGATTTTGGGGGTTATAACCCAGCAACACCTCCAAGTAACAATAGACTAGACTTGTTATACAAAGCTTCCCCTGAGAAAAGAGAGGAACTAGTACAAACACTGAAAAAGGTAGGTATGGTATTCAGATATTTTAAGACATTAGGCCAGCATTTTTTTATTTTTAGGTTTACAAACCCGCCGCTCAAGATTTTGAATTAAAGAAAAAAAATAAAATTGAGAAAAACAGAATTTTTTCTTTCCGATGTCAAATTTGAGTCGGGATCGAGATTTCAAATTTACGAACTCGTACTTCCGGTTTTAAATGAACATGGCGGGTAATGAAGGGAGATTTGTGTCAAGTCCATAGCAGCACTAAAGCTTGTTTTAATGTAAATATTCATCGATAGGAGTGCCATTTAAAACGTTTCACCCGTTCAGAGAACAATAAAATGCTGACGACTTTGTTGCAAAGTGACATGTTGGTGAGATAATTATGTATCCGTATTCAAAAGTAACTGTCTGTAATTGTAAATTATTTTCCTCCCACAGGTTTAAAACTGCCCATGGTAGCTATTGTCAGAGACATTGTTTAGGTTTCTATCATAGCTTAAAGTCTTAGCATCATTCTTCAGAAAAGGGTCGCTTATGCATTAGATGTAATGAATAAAACTATGGGAGAAGTTAAGTCCATTTGTGGAAGAAATAAACAATAGCCTAAAGAAATAAAATATTTCAACTATTTAAAAACAAGAATATACAAATATATACAGGCATGTAGTATCGTTTATGGCAGCCAGAAAAATTATTTTACACTTAATTGAAAAAAATTCCACCCTACTCTTCAATACTCCTTGGGAATACTCCCTGTCTGTTTTATGAAAGGAATCTTACTTTTATAGGTCTCGAGTATATTAATATTTTAGAATAATTTCTACCTAACACACATTAAAAACAAAAATGAAGATATATTAAAAGAGATTTAAAAATTTAATTTTTTTTTTAAAAAATCTGTATTTTGTCCAACATCAAAAGATTTATATCACTGCCCCCAACAGGTAGATGATGAAATAAACAATTAAAGGTGGTATTTTCCCCTTTGTAACCCTTATGCGTCCAGTGGCAAGAAGCCTGTTAGGAGAGCATAAAAAAAGAAGCAAAAATTAATGTAGAAAAGTCGATAATGTATCCAAAATATAATTTTTTTTTTTTTATTTCCTCCTCCTACGGGACTTTTTCATTCTGATGTTCGTAAACCTAAAAATAAAAAAATGCTGGCCTTAGAATACATAAATGGATTTGATTGAAGTTTAGTGCAGGTGCTGAAAAAAATGAATACAGTAAAACTCCTGTAGTACGAACAAGGATATTGCGAATTTACATTTAGTGAAGTTATCTTGGATTCCCAGCTCTATAAATTTTACGAAATATGGATGTAATGAATTATGGATATAGCAAAGTAATTTTATAGTTTCCAGTGACTTCTTTATAACTGAGTTTTACTGTACATGTACATGTGTATAATGATTCACTGTACTGAATATGCTTTCGGGTAAAGAAATTTTGATTATCAACCTTAAAGAAGTAAATCAGCTCAAGTAATATCCAAGTGCAACTTCTAAAGAGTTTATAGAAGGAAAGAATGAAATTTTAATGAATGCTTAAGTCCAAGTGTATTTTTATTCTACCAGACAATTTATGATGGTTATTTTTTGTCTCTCTGGAGTAGATCTTTGCAGAAGCAGAGAGAGACACAGAAGAGGAAACAAGGGCAAGATTACAGAGTCTTTTCTTCACAGGTATGTGTATCTGTTTATGTTTTATGAAAAACTGTAAGAAAAGGAGTTCAGTCTATGCGAAAGTCACTGGACCGTCAGTTTTACTGGTAAAATTTAGGTCGGGTTACTAAAGAATTCAGTACACAGGACCAAATGTCTGATAAAAAATAAGGCCAAATAAATCTAAATTAAGAGGTACACATGGTCAAATTCCCCACAAATATCCTTTATTTGACCAATTTTGCAGTAATACCTGATTAATTTTTATGCCTCGCCATGAATATGGCTGGGGCATATAGTGTTTGTCATGTCCGTCTTCCGTCCTTCCGTCCTTCTGTCCTTCCGTCCTTCCGTCTTCCGTCACACTTTGCGTTTAGCTCTGTTCAAAGCTAAGTTTCAAAGAAACTATCCAAGATATTTTCATCAAACTTCATATGCTGATAGATATTGATGAGATCTATGCAACTGCATCAACATTTTTTGACCTTGACCTTTCCTTTGACCTTGACCTCACTTTTCTTAAATTAGTGTTTAGTTCAGTTTTAAACATACCATTCAAGATGGTGTTATCAAACTTCACATGTTGATACAAACTTGCATGGATGATGCATCTAGGGATGAACACTACCAGACTTGCTTCGGATGCTGGATCTGACCTACATTTTCAAGACGACTGACCAGGTTAAACAGGTCGAGGAAACTACCTTATATGGATATTGTTGTCATTGCGCACAGTGATGCTCACAGTGAACAATGGTCCAATTCACTGAATGAGCCGAAAAGCATGATGGTCTACTACATGTTTATTTTTATAACAAACACGTGGGTTTAGGGAAATTTAGGATGTGAATTCAAATGACTGCTGGAAAGTCAAATTACAATTTTTTGAAACATGTTTGAGAAAAATACGAAGAATAGGTACTAATTAAGAATTCCCATGCTCACATTAGCAAACAAAGTCAGTTTTCCTTGTTAAATAGTACTTTGAAATACCGCTCACAAAGTCTCCACAATTTAAAAAAAAAAGGACTCCAGTACTTGATAATCGTAAATTTGCCATGTAATTGACTGAATTAGTTGTTGCTCAGTTATTTGTCACTAGAAATTTAAAGTTCATGCATTAAAAAAACCGACTTAGGTTGCACGTTTTTTTTAATCTATTACCTCTATATTAATTCTCATGTGCATTGATCACAGAACGTGTATTGAGTAGCATACTGTATGTTTTGAAGTTGTATACGCTGTAAACATTGCTGTAAACATTGTCAATACGTGAGCACACCTCAGAGTTGTTTTTTTTTTTTTTGTACCGATGAATAGCCACGTGAAATTGACTTTTCACTGAAAGTACACCACGAGGAAAGCTGTAAACAAACGGACTTGTACAATTGAGTGAGGAAAACCCAGATTTTCATCATTGTTAATCATTTGTATGTAAATGTGAGCATGGGATTAGTAGATAATAATGTACGTATTATATTAAGCGTGTAAAATGCTTGGAAAAATGAATCACGTCTTTCCGAGAGCGATTTTAAAAAACTGGCTTTTCGAAACACACATGTAGTATTTTTGTAGTAACCCATAATGCAACTCATTGAGCTGATTGGTCGATTAGTCAGTCACGTTGGTTCTTCACTTAACATGTAAATTTATTCCGACGTCACAGAAAATAGTTTCCTCGACCTGTTCAAGTTTTTGGAGCAGGTCCATTCCTAAGGAACTATAAGCTCTACCTGAACCAAACTTGCATGGATGATGCATCTAGGGATGGACACTACCAGACTTGCTTCAGATGCTGAATCTGACCTATATTTTCATTCCTTAGTAACTATGAGTTACCTTAACCAAACTTGCATGGATGATGCATCTAGGGATGGACACTACCAGACTTGCTTCGGATGCTGGATCTGACCTATATTTTCATTCCCAAGTAACTATAAGCCCTACCTGAACCAAACTTGCATGGATGATGCATCTAGGGATGGACACTACCAGACTTGCTTCAGATGCTGAATCTGACCTATATTTTCATTCCTTAGTAACTATGAGTTACCTTAACCAAACTTGCATGGATGATGCATCTAGGGATGGACACTACCAGACTTGCTTCGGATGCTGGATCTGACCTATATTTTCATTCCCAAGTAACTATAAGCCCTACCTGAACCAAACTTGCATGGATGATGCATCTAGGGATGGACACTACCAGACTTGCTTCGGATGCTGAATCTGACCTATATTTTCATTCCCAAGTAACTATGAGTCTTACCTTAACCAAACTTGCATGGATGATGCATCTAGGGATGGACACTACCAGACTTGCTTCGGATGCTGGATCTGACCTATATTTTCATTCCCAAGTAACTATAAGCCCTACCTGAACCAAACTTGCATGGATGATGCATCTAAGGATGGACACTTCCAGACTTGCTTCGGATGCTGGATCTGACCTATATTTTTATTCCCTAGTAACTATAAGCCCTACCTGAACCAAACTTGCATGGATGATGCATTTAGGGATGGACACTACCAGACTTGCTTCGGATGCTGGATCTGACCTATATTTTTATTCCCAAGTAACATCAACATTTTTTGACCTTGACCTTTCCTTTGACCTTGACCTCACTTTTAGTGTTTAGCTCAGTTTTAAACATACCATTCAAGATGGTGTTATCAAACTTCACATGTTGATACAATCTTGCATGGATGATGCATCTAGGGATGAACACTACCAGACTTGCTTCGGATGCTGGATCTGACCTACATTTTCAAGACGACTAACCAGGTTAAAATTTTTGGAGCAGGTCCATTCCTTAGGGACTATAAGCTCTACCTGAACCAAACTTGCATGGATGATGCATCTAAAGATGAACACTACCAGACTTGTTTAGGATGCTGGATCTGACCTACATATTTATTCCCTAGTAACTATAAGCCCTACCTGAACCAAACTTGCATAGATGATGCATCTAGGGATGGACACTACCAGACTTGCTTCGGATGCTTGATCTGACATATATTATTATTCCCAAGTAACTATAAGCCCTACCTGAACCAAACTTGCATGGATGATGCATCTAGGGATGGACATTACCAGACTTGCTTCGGATGCTGGATCTGACCTATGTTTTCCAAACAAGCAATTCAGCTGCATCACTATTCAAGATATTCTGATCAAATTTTATATACATACAAATTTTCATGTTGCTTTACTAATATATCCTCGGTGGGGCATTCATGTCCTATGGACATATTTCTAGTTATGTATTACGACCCTGTCATGATCGTTTTTATTCTAATTCAAATTTCCTCTGTCAAGGATTAGAAATCTTTAGATAGCTCATATGTAGATTTGGTTGGGAAAACATTTAGATAGCTAATATGTAAATTCGGTTGGGAAATTATTTAAGCATTGAATTCATATTTTGGGATGTCTTCGGTCCTATAACACACCAACACACCAATTGAATAACGACAAATTGAATACCACGCGTTATTTAGGGAAACAGGTGTTTTTATCTGTTGACAGTAGGGTTTATGGGCAGGGCTTCATTGACTGATAAGGTGTTTTTATCTACTGACAGTAGAGATTGTGGGCGGGGCTTTATTTACTGATGAGGTGTTTTTATCTATTGACTGTACAATTTGTGGGCGGGGCTTTATTTACTGATGAGGTGTTTTTATCTATTGACAGAACAATTTGTGGGCGGGGCTTCATTTCATGACAAAGTGTTTAATCTATTGACAGATCTTTTTATGTACCTGGACAAGGAACAGCTACAGGAAGTGATCTATGTTCTGTTAAATCGAGCGGTTCGATACTATGGAGATATTCATGACGTGCTGCTGGACATCATACAGATACTTAGTGGTGAGATTGTTTTTACACAAAACTGTTTAATCCAACACCTGTCCAATCTGTCACACTGTAAATTCTGATGTAAAATTTCTGTCCCATTTCCTTACTTTCCATGGCTTTAAAACGGAAATCCGGCACCTTGTCTATTCCAGCATAAAATTTGTCTCCCAGTGCATGTGGGATTAGACAGGTTTCACTGTTTAAGTTTTTGGTTCTGTGTTACTCAGGTGACCTTTTTGCTATTCGTTTTCGTCGTGTGTCTTGTGATGTGTCGTGTGTTAATATTTGAACATTTTTCAGCTTCATCTCTTAAACCACTTAACCAATTTCAGCCAATTTTAGCATATGAACCAATTTCAGCCAATTTTAGCATATGGCATCTATGGGTGAAAGTGAACAAAATTTTTGAATTTTACATTCCCTGCCCCCCTGGGGCCTGAGGGATGAGGCCAAAACCACTAAAATCAATGCCATGTTTAGTCCTGGACATCAAGCAGTTAAACTGTTGACATGAATGTAATAAGCATGAATTTCTCTACTAAAATTGTGAAATTCATGGCCCCAGGACCAAGGGGTTGTAGTGCTAGGGCAATGCTATATTGCAGATACAAGTTCTATGCATATGAAATAACCCATTTTCATTCAATGTGTTCAAGTGTCTGACACCCCCCCCCCCCCCCCCCCTAAAAATAATTGCGTTTTATTTGTAATAGTTTCTCTAATGAGCATTCTAAAATTAATTTTAAAATTAAATCCCGCAAAAAAATGTCATATCAATTTTTAAGACTTCTAAATTTGCATCCTGCTAAAATTTTTACTTATGTGCGGCATATACGTGTATCTGTTTTGATTTTAGTGACAGAAGATTTTCCCGACTGTCTTTACCAGTCCTGTAAGAAAATAGAAGAAAACTACATCAAGGTAATATAAAGAGATTTTAAAAAAATTCAGACCAAGGAAATTTAGCAAAATTTCATGTATTTATGCATGATATTGATCAAGAATCTGTAGCACAAGCATATGAGGGGAATGTTTATCCATGATATTAGAATGATACCCAGTGCTTGTTAATGTAAGCAGTGGCTAATTGTGTGAAAACTAGCGCTAAATTCTCCATATTTAAAATTTCCACAATTTTCAGAACAGTGTTTATCTTCAAGTCTATTGTGTTGAATTTGGATATTTCTTCAACATAACTAGTACTGCAATGTATAACTTTAAGTCTGTTATGTTGAATTTGGATGTTTCTACAACATAACTACAATGTATAACAACTTATACTGTAGAAGCACAAATTCTCGTGGGGATAAAATTTCGTCGTTTTGTCATCAAAAATAGTTTCGTGGGGATTTAATTTCGTTGTTTTGAAAGTAACCCTATTCGATATATAGACATATAAAATTTCGTGTGGGATTTAATTTCGTTGATAATTGGTAACAACGAAATAAACGAAATTTAATCCCCCACGAATATTTGTGCTTTTACAGTAGTCTCTTGTGTTGAATTTGGATGATTCTACAACATAACTACAATGTATAACTTTGTGTTGAATTTGGATATTTCTTCTACATAACTACATAAGTAATATTTTTTTCCTACAGATCCAGATGAAGGGGAGTCCATTTCATATCCAGGCCAGTAAGGTGTTAGCTCATATCTTCACAATGAGCCTTCATTGGTCCGGCAGGTATGTTGCGTCTCCTTGTATACAGTATACAGGGTTATTTTCACCACCCTTTTACATTTGCTTAAAAATTTGCAGTGTTATAAATACGCCCGGTCTCAGATCTGTTTAAGAATTTATATGGTGTTCTTTGAATCCCCCCTTCTAATTTGTCCACTTGTGACGAGGGCAAAAGGGCCAAAAATAAAACAGAGGCGAAAATTTCCCTGTACATGTATACAGTAGATTTATAATTTAAAATATTTGATCTATGATTTTAGTAATCCTCCTTGTCATTTTAATCTTAGTGACTTTGAGTTTTGAATAAATTTTGAACAGCAACCAAATTCAAGAGATGATGTTATCAGCTTTGGAGAAGTGGATAATATTCAACAAAACAGTAAGAAGATTTTTATCCGTCCAAAAAAAAAAACACCCTTTATTCTTGACATACGAAATCTCAGAATTATAAATATTAACTCAAAGGAATATACAGAAATTCTTGTGTGTCCATCAGTTCAATTTTTCTTATATACTTTAATATTGAATTACAAATATTAGAACTGTTTTTGTTGAGACAGAAACTTGAAATTTTGAAGTAAAAATATGTTACTTGTTTGTAAGTGATAAAACTATCTATTAGGTAAGATTTCATGTGCCATTTTAATAGTCTTGATATAATAAACTGAACATTACCAGAAAATGTTCTCAATTTTTCTTGTTTTTCAGGCTCAACAGCTGGGACAGGACAGATTACAGGAGCTTTACATTGAATGTTTTGATATTGTGTGGTGCATTGTGGGATCTCATATCTGCCGTCTCTATCCTGAGCACAAGGCTCGACTGCAGAGAGAGTGTAGAAATAAGATTCTCAATGACGATGTTTTCAGGTATGTAGAGGAGGATTTTATGGACATATTTCCAGTTTTATACCCTATTTAGCAACATTAAGGAACCTGAACTCAAAAGAGTTCCAATTGTCTGCTCAATATATTTTGCAGTATATTAGAATGATCTTACCCTTTGATCTTAAATTACCCCCCCCCCCAAAAAAAAACCCACTTTACAAGACACAGTGTATAGTGTGTCCTTAAATGTTTTATTCATTTTTATCTCTCAGCTGTTCAGATGGTAGTCCTTTGACTTCAGACTTGTGGGAGCATGGTAATGACCTCCACATTTCGAGGTCACTCAGATACAGCTTTAAGACTTCTGTGATTGCTGTAATTTAGGATCCTTTTGTTCAAATAAGAAATAAAATCAAACAAAATTTGACAATTTCTTCCGGTGGACTAGTAAAATATTTTGGTACATTTATTTTAGATTGGTGCGGTCAAAGTTGTTGGACCTGTACATAGAGAAGTTTGTGGTATCACCTACTTCAAAGAAAGAGGAAATTCACTCATGTACTCAGACCAGGGCTCTGACAATGGTGGACAAGGGGGTACAGACAGACATGATTAAAATCACAGGTGAGGCAAACAGGATTTAATTAAAATGGGGACAAAGGGATACCTTTTGATTCTGGGAAACTTTTAAATATTTTTTGAGCTCACCTCAAAGAAGTTGAGATAACTAATGCTATACCCCAGACTTGTAAAAATTTGTCGGTTCTGTTGTTACAGTCTCATCAAAGATGTCTGGTTACCATTATCATCATACATGTACTTTAATATCATTTAGATATATTTTTTTATTTCACCCTTTCAGAAAGACGATTACAGGCAGAATCTCCTTCACCTGTTGCACCAGCATCTGAACCATGGAAAAAATCCAAAACAAAGACAGCGCCAAATAACACAAAAGCCACCACAGTAGAATCCAAGAAAGACATTGAGTGGCCAAAATTGTCAGGTCCAAAAGTGCCCGATTGGACAAATCGGTTGCTGGACAGTCCGAAACTTCCAGACTGGAGCAGCCCAGAGGGAAGTAGCAGTAGTGTCCGAAAGACTCCAGAGTCGCTGACAAGTGGATTGTATTTTTCTGCAGAGGATAAATCATTTCCGAGTTCACCGGACATCAGACAATCTTCATTTCTTAATTCTCCAGACAATCTCAGAAAGCGAAATTTGAATCAGTTGAGGAGCCCTAAAGAAACCCCGGTAGTGTCAGAACCAGTGCAGAACTTTACAAACTGGTCCGACAATATGGTGTTTGGATCTAAATCAAACTTTCTGTCCAGTGATCACACTATAAAGAAATCGGAAGATGAAAGAAAAAGCCAACTGTTGAAGAACAAACTTTGTGCTTTGGCAGAGCCTAAATCAAATCCCACAGGACTGAAAGCTCAGAGTTCCACATTCCAGCAAAATAATGGCTCCAAAATGGAAAATCAACAGATTAGGCAGTCGGGAGGAAAGGAAGTGTCTTACTCTAGCAATAGGAAAACGAAGGATCTGAAAGAGGAGCAGAAATCTAGAGACCCAGAACCAGTCTCTTGGTGGGATTCAACAGGCAGCTTATCAAGAGCACATTTAAAGTCTCCTTCTTTTGGTTCAGAAGAGGACTCAAGTGGCAGCGAAAAAAGATCTTTGGGCAGAGGGAGGGGAAGGCGTGTCAAAAAAGGGCTACCTGCACCCTCGAGTTCATCTTCTCTTGTGCAAAAATCAGACATTAGAGATGAGAAATCTGAAAATCCTGTCAGCTCTCAGAAAAGAGTCAATCCTCTGCGAGCCACGAGAGATGAAAATCCATTGCGCTTCCAAAATCAGAATGCTAATTGCAATAAAGGTAGTGGTGCTAGTGGTGGGAAATCCCCACAAAAAGTGATGGACTGGTTTTCTATGGAGGAGATAGAAACTGGTGATCAGCCCTCAGAAACAGGCAGCAGGAATGAGGATGACGTTCCAGACGACTGGTTTCTGGCAAGCGAGGACGAAAAAAGTGCCAAATATTCCCAAAACAGTGATATGCAAGCTTTACAGAGTCAAGCAAGTGACATTTCAACAAATCAAAAGAGTGCTAGCAAAGGCCAGGTGTCTCAAAATGGAGACTCACCATCGCAGACAGAGACTGACACGGGGGGACTGGACAGTAAATTTGACGGTGAGGACGGTAGTGGTGACTGCCCCACCCGATCCTCCCATTTTTCCGACGAGGAGGGTGAGGATGATGGATTATGGGAAACAGACCAGAGCTCCGATGATGAAATGTATATGAGGCCTGCAACTGCCAACACTTCTGACCAGGGATTTACAGAAAGTTCTAGTGTTTCTAAGTGGGTTCCTGGGCAAAGAAAGTGTACACTGTGTGGTGCCACTGATCATGTTATATACAAGTGCCACAGGAAAAAAGACAACAGCTTTTTTCTGTGAAAAATGTGCCATTTTATTAACTTGTTCTTGTATTGAAGGGCAAGTTTTATCCCCCTTATTCACATGATCTGAGGCCTACATTATCTTTATTGGTCAAAGTTTGTGTGTGTATTTGAATGTATTTCTGTACCCTTCAGTGAAAGGATCAGTTTTCATATGTTTTAGATGTTTCTTGATTCACGTAAACTTATGAAATATTGTCTGATGATTAACTTTCTCCTGCATAAATGCCTCAGGTAGTGATATACGGATTATAATTTGCTAAGGTCAACATTAAAAAAAGAACTTATTTTGTCAAGGCCAATAAACATGATAAATGTCCCAAAATAAAACTTCAGGAAAATAAGAATTCTTTTACTATTAATTAAAAAAAGAATGGTCTCCAGATTATAATTTTTTCTTTGCGTTTATTCAATAAAGTTTTTACTCCCAGTGAATAAATTTTTCTCTTAATTTTACAAAATTTGTCTGAAATTCATTTATTGCTGGCATAGGTTTCGGATGACAATTCTCTGTAAGATTTTGCATTAGCACTTGAGCAGATAAGGAAATACGCACACTAACTCTCGATTCCCACCTACATTTTGGAACCCATTATTCAATATAAATAGCAATTTGGCCATAAAATCTTTGTTGAATACAAAGAACAGTTCAAGGGTAATTGATAAGTTGTCTTAATACCAGCACTAAGATAGTAAATTATCAATAATTCCAGGTCTTGAAAAAAAAGAGGGGGGGTGGGGGGGTGGGGGGTCAGATGATATTTTTCATTGAAATCGGTGTTTCAAGCATCACCATATTATGAAATAGTCTTGGATTTGATTAAATGTTCCTTATATCCTTTCTTTGAAATTGGTGGAAAATAAGTATTTTTGTCGTTTTTTTGTCAATAAACATATGTACCTCCATCCCTGATACACAAAAATCTTTGGTATGAATTTGTGAAATAACAATACCTGTAAAAAGGATTTTTTGTGTCACGGTGGGGGAGGGGATGTTTTTAGAATATTTTCCATTTATTTCTATAGTGAAAAACAGGACTTTTAATAAAATTTTAAAGTTGTTTCTCTGTTTTCCAATTAATTAATGTTTTATAAAAATCCATATAATTATCAATAAATTCATTGGATAAATTAACTATTAAAAATTGACTTGGAGGTAGGTGGGCGAACAATACTATTGTTTGCAGTTCTTTCCTGATCTTAAAAGATCCCTATTGACTTAAAACTCAAAAGTCAAGGTCAAACTCTTTTCTTTCTTCACCTGTATTTTTTCAGTTCTTGCATGCTTTTCTTTTTTCCCTAAGTTGGGGACATAGAATCTCTTAATTAAATACACCATTGTTTATACGAAGTTAATTAATAATGAATTGTTTATGTAAAGTTGCAAATCTTTGATGTATATTACACTGTATCTTGAAGTAAAATACGAGGGTTGTTCAAAAAGTTCGTGGACAACTGTCATATCTTTTTTATTTGACGTCATATGTTATCCTAATTTGGTAGAAATATTTTAACAATAAATCCAAATGATTTGTATTAATTTTTTTTTAAATATTACGATTAATTTAAAATTTATCCAGATTTGAAAAATGAAAAAATCAGGTCGCGGAGCAGGTCAAAATTTAGTAAGTTTACAGACAATAAACTAAATAATGTCTGTAGTCATATTCTTTGTAAAATGAAGCAAAAACCAAAAAACACCTAGAAATTCAAATTAAGAATTGTTACATCGATTCGTATACCAAATTATGGCTTTATATTTTGCTTTGTTAAAAAGAAATCAACTTGAGATGATAGGTAGTACTAATTGAAAACGACAAAAACGATGACGTTTTGGAACGTCACAGAGCAGCAGATAAGGATGCAATTTTGTGTTTTTCTCAGGAAAAATCCAGAATAAACTCTAAAAATGTTGGAGGAATCAAGAAAATATGTCACAAGCGAGTTGTGTTGTGTGTACAAATAGTACAGGCAGTATCTGAGTGACAGTGACTCTGTATCGGATGAGAACAATCTGTGAAGAAACGGTTTAACTGTAAAAATCTTACCAAAAATTCTAAAAAGTTGGAACGTCAAAGAAAGACATAGGCGCTTCAGAGTTGCTTATCCTGTGAAAGCAGAGTTAAGTAATAAAAGAAATTAAAACCTTAACAAAGTAAATTATCCAACGAGAGCAATTCTTAAAAAATAAATGTAAAGTATTAGAAAAAGGATTTAATGAGTGGGCATTGGATTATACTGTGTAAATTGTAAAGGGATAGTATTTTTTGGAAATTCTTGACGCTATGTTTTGACGCTACTTTGCCGTTACGTGTGCTCCGCGGGTACAAAACGTTGATTTTAAAATGAAGTAAATTGATTTTTGTTAAATGGAATGGAATGAAACTTCACACATCAACAAAACAAATGTTTTTGCATATTATATTGTGCTGATTTAAGATTTCTTGTGAGTAATATAACGAAGAATGACATCGTCCACGAACTTTTCGAACAACCCTCGTATGCATTTAAATTCTATGCATTTATTTCACACCTGTTATTTTAACAAATAAGAGTTTTCCGAGGAAAAAAATATCAGCAGCTTTAAGTTTTTGAAATGTTATGTTTATTTTGTGTCCTTGTGTGCCAAATTTTCAGTGACAGTTATAATCAAATATTTAATTTTGGAACAGCCTGTTTATTCTTATTAATTAAATGAAGGTTCAGTTTTGGGTTTTTGTGACCTTAAATGATTCCTAATCTCCAACTAGAGAAACCAGGGCAGAATACAAGTTTTCTTGTTTGTGTGTCTGTCACTGTCTTTCAGTTCCATTTGGGTTTTTGCACTATTTTCCAAATGCTTAAGCTACTGAACTGAGTTTTGATATATGTGTTGTAACTTAAAATACAGATCAAGTTAGAGTTTTACTCCGCATCTCTAATTTTTTATGGTTAACAGTCCTTTTTAGGCTTTTAGTTTTTATGAGAAACTAGCTTATTAATTTTATTTAAAGCATAGCAAAAGAAAGTACAGTCATTATGTTCCATAGCTATAGGACATTTCTCACGGATTTAACCTCTTGTGTCTAAACTAGTAATTAAAGTGGACAAAAAAGAATTTTCACTCTCTGAATCTCTCCCACTCATTTAAATTTGTGTGCTTTTCATTTTGGTTTTATTTATGTGCATGGACTTTATGATAAACTTAAAACATCTTAACCAAATGTCAGATTCCCCAAAGGTGCACAATCATGCTTGTGACTTGTGATATAGCATTGTATATAATTTCAGCATTTGCAGGAGGGGCCAAATTTAAAGTTTTTGCCATTGTTTTTATGTTAAATTACTGTGTTTTTTTTAATTAAATATGGTAAAGTCCATTTTCATTGTTAAAGGCCTTTTTTGCCTTTCAAATTGTTAAAATATCAAGAAATAGGACATTTTCATGTACTTGCTGTCTTTTGAATGCTAGTTAAATAATATATAGAACCTTAAAAATGCCAGTTTTGCATTTCAAAGTTTTCCCATGCAAAAATATTAACTTTATGAAAAGATGATCAATATTCCAGCATAATTGGTCATTCTAGGTGATTTGAACCATTTGAAATATTTTCCACTAAGTGTGCTGTAACTCTGAATTTTATGGATGAAGAAAAAATGTAGAAATCTTGTCTTGGAGTTTTAAACTTGTAAGATTAGAAACAAAAGCTCAAAATGTTGGGTACAATACTATATGTATATAAAAGTCAGATAGGTCTTCAAGATGAACAAGATTTGAGAGAAGCAGCTCTGAGTTTTATTTAAGCAATATGAGCTGCAGTTTTTGAGAATTTAATTTTCCTGTCAAAATATTCTAGTACTATTATGATAAATCGGTATGTAATTTAACCCTTTATGATCCAATACATGTAGACCATAATAAATTAATTTTGCTTCAATCAAAGCTTAAAAATATTTCATCCATCTCAAATATGAACTACAGAACTTTGAAAATGTACTTTTTCCTGTCATTGAAATAGTTATAATTACTATATTACAACAAAAGTTTCTGACTTCAAAGTTGCAGCTCATATTGCTCTAAGCTAAGACATCCAAGTGCCTACCATTTTATTGTAAAGAAGTTAGCTGTTACAGCTGATATTATTATATCTGTTCAAAATTAATAAAGACTGTTGTCATTTAGGTATTAGGTCCAACGAAGAGAATTTTTAGCTCACCTCAACGAAGTTGGGGGGAGCTTATGTGATACCCTCGGCGTCGGCGTCGGCGTTGGCGTCCCGGGTTAAGGTTAAGTTTTTTGGAGCAGTTTTCTTTTTAAGTACTTCTGTGTCCTATATTGATTAGACATGCATGGAAGATGTTGCTAGTGTGTTTCATTGTACCAGTCAAAGTTTCAGATGCTGCAATTTCAGCAAAGGAATGACCAGGTTAATGTTTTTGGTGCAGGTTAACATTTTTGGTGCAGTTTTTGGTGTAGGTCTCATTTCCGAGTAACTATAAGCCCTATGTTGACCAAACTTACATGGATGATACATCTTAAGATGCATACTACCAGCCTTG